AATTAATTAATAATAAAAGCAAATGAATAAAATAAATGATGAGCTTAATTAAAAAAGAAAAAACAAAACAGTAAGCACGATAAAAAGAAAAAGAAAAAAGAGCTTTATTGTTTTTAATTAGTTTTTATAATTAAAAATATCACAATCCAAAACAAATAAACTGTTTTTACTAAAGGTTAAGTGTCAAATTTGAGAGATTAATGCATTTTTCTAAAGCTGAACCTAAGCCTAATGCACCCATTGCACCAATTTAATTAGACCTTTTTAAATATTGAAGAAAAAATATATCATTAAATAGTTAATTAGAAGGAAAAAATGAAGAAAAAATATGAAATAATAAAATTAATTAATAATAAAAGCAAATGAATAAAATAAATGATGAGCTTAATTAACAAAGAAAAAACAAAACAGCAAGCACGATAAAAAGAAAAAGAAAAAAGAGCTTTATTGTTTTTAATTAGTTTTTATAATTAAAAATATCACAATCCAAAACAAATAAACTGTTTTTACTAAAGGTTAAGTGTCAAATTTGAGAGATTAATGCATTTTGCTAAAGCTGAACCTAAGCCTGATGCACCCATTGCACCAATTTAATTAGACCTTTTTAAATATTGAAGAAAAAATATATCATTAAATAGTTAATTAGAAGGAAAAAATGAAGAAAAAATATGAAATAATAAAATTAATTAATAATAAAAGCAAATGAATAAAATAAATGATGAGCTTAATTAACAAAGAAAAAACAAAACAGCAAGCACGATAAAAAGAAAAAGAAAAAAGAGCTTTATTGTTTTTAATTAGTTTTTATAATTAAAAATATCACAATCCAAAACAAATAAACTGTTTTTACTAAAGGTCAAGTGTCAAATTTGAGAGATTAATGCATTTTGCTAAAGCTGAACCTAAGCCTGATGCACCTTCCTCACCAATATTATTTCTACTTTTTAAATATTGAAGAAAAAATATATCATTAAATAGTTAATTAGAAGGAAAAAATGAAGAAAAAATATGAAATAATAAAATTAATTAATAATAAAAGCAAATGAATAAAATAAATGATGAGCTTAATTAACAAAGAAAAAACAAAACAGCAAGCACGATAAAAAGAAAAAGAAAAAAGAGCTTTATTGTTTTTAATTAGTTTTTATAATTAAAAATATCACAATCCAAAACAAATAAACTGTTTTTACCCAAGGTCAAGTGTCAAATTTGAGAGATTAATGCATTTTGCTAAAGCTGAACCTAAGCCTGATGCACCCATTGCACCAATATAATTAAACCTTTTTAAATATTGAAGAAAAAATATATCATTAAATAGAGTAAGTTGCCATAAAAATTTACAAAAAGCGAGTTTAATATACCAGTTTTTATATTTTATAAAATTAAAATTAAAAATTTTTTTATGTGTTTTTTTCTATCATAGGTTTTCAAAATTTATATTTTTTAAAAAAAATGATATGTTATAAGAATATGTGGGTATATATAATTTCAAATTTGACATTTTCTGAATTCAAAGCTTTCAATTAACTCAAAAGTAAAGCTAATTTAAGCTAATTTAGCTTTATATCAAGTTATTAAGATATATTACATTTCGCCTTTTATAAATTAAAAAGGCGGCATTTCGCTCGTTAATTAGGAGGGAAAAATGAAAAAAAAAAAATGAAATAATAAGATTAATTAATAATAAATAAAATTAACAAAGAATCAAAAAATAAGAAATTATAATAAAAAGAAAAAGGTAAACAAATCAAATAAATTAAAAGAGCTTTAATGTTTTAAATTAACTTTTATAATTAAAAATATTAAAATGCAAATCAAATAAACTGCTTTTATTAAGTGTAAATTTTAATAGCAAAAAATGAAGAAAAAGTATCAAATAATACAAAATGAATAATAAATAATTAATTAAAAATTTAAATGAAAATTAAGTTAAAATAATAGCTAAAAAATTTTTGTTTTAATAAAAATCATTAAATAATAATGATAATTTCTATAATAAAAATTATTTATTTAAATAAATTGAAAATTAAATATACAAAAAATATTAATAATAATAAAAATAATATCTTTTAATTAAATATACTTGAGATCAATATGTAGAATCTAATGAGGTAAATGTGAAGACCTTAAAAACTTTTTTTATAAATTAAAATAAATTTAAAGGATATTAATATAAAAATTAATAATTACTTCTTCTAATTTTTTATATTTTTTAATCTATTATATCATTTATTTTTTTTTTTTCAAAAATATTGAATAGCAATTTATTAAATTTGATTAATTTATTAATTAATTATAAATGGATAAAAAGAACAAATAAATATAATAATGAATTAATTATCAAATATAAATTTATAATTTGGTTTTATGAAGAGATATCACAGAAAAATTAATTTAACATTCACTATTTAAACTTAATATTTGTATTTAAAACAAACGCTTAAAAATATATATAGTAAGAATTAGAGATGGTCAGTTATTTATTTAGTCCTATTTGAAAAAATTCTAGTTGTTAATGTTCTTAAATTTTATAAGAATAACGTTTATAAGTAGATTTTTCTGTTTTAGTTTTGTAATTTTGGGAATATTTATAATATTTCTAATATAGCAAGATGCCATACAAAAATTTCATGGTTTGTATTCCACTTTTTATGAAATATATTTTTTTATTAATTTATTAAAAAATTTAATGTATATATATATGTATTATAATATAATTATAATTAATAAATAATTTAATTTATTTTTATTTCAAAATAAATAATCTCGTTTTTTTGTAAGAATACTACTAGTTAGATTACTTACAAGTTGAAGTAACTTTACCATATATCTATTTTCTTATTAATTACTAAAAATAATTTAAACATGAATTCCTAAATCATTTTTAAGATTTTATTTCATTCTATTCACATCATTTGACTCTATTTTTTGGCTTTTAAAAATTGAATAAAGCTGATCAATAATTTTGTATTAAAAATGTGACATTATTCTTTTTTTCTCCTCAAATATTTTTGTTAACACATCTGCAGCGTTAAAATAGTTCTAGACATAAATAAGCTAAGCAATTTCAGCAAAATTTAGCATCAAATCTAAATTTTCAAATGAAAAGTAGTTATTTAAAAACTGTTATGCTTGTTAGTCTTATTCTTAATTTCTAAATAACTCAAATAAATTTTCTAAAACGCTTAAATTATGCTATTAAAAGGAATCTTAATAAGATTATTTTAATTAAATATCTTTAAATTTTAGTTTTTTTTGAATAGAAGAAAGCAAAATAGTTTCTAAGTGTTGATTACTCTTCAAAGATTTCCCCATTACTTTTTAATCCTTAAAATAGACTACGTCATTCTATAAATTAGTAATATTTGCATTCAAATATTAATTGCTCAAGAATAATTAATTATAAGTTCCATCTTCTTCTTCCTCATATTTTTAAAAAATGTTAGATGTAATCTTTTGTTATTGTTAGTCTACGAGCAAAATATTTTAAGATTGATTGCCTGCTTTTTAAAATTTTATCGCTCTTGTAAACTTTTTTGTTTACTTAGAAGATAGTAAAGGGCTATATTTTTCATTAAAGCTTAAAATAGTTTGAGGACAAACTACTTGCTTTTAACTGTTTTCTCGTTCATTTATTTATATTTAACTAAGCTAATTTCTACGATATAATAACATATTTTATGATTTTGTTTGTTTATTCATTTTAAAATAGCATCGAGACATCAATAGGTAAATTTCAACTTATAATTATTTGCTTTGTGGTAAATGCTTTGTAATTTTTATCAAACGTTTACAAAGCTACTCTATTTCAGGCCAAAAGTTAAATTCATTTGAGCAGTGTTGTATTTGCCTTAAAGAATCAAAATGTTCTTAAAGTGCTTAAAGAGAGACAATAAAGTTTCTTTCTCTTTAGTATAAATTATTTAAAAGTTCAATTCCTTATTCTTTTAACTCATCATTGAACTTACTTTCTTATAAAATACATTCTTTGCTGTTACAGAAGCTGTCTCTCACTTTTTTAATATTATTGTTTACTCTCTCAATTGAAAAAATGCTCTTATCTTTATCCCTCGTCTTCTATTAATTAAAACTGTTTTTCTAGCTGAGCTCATAAAAAGATGTGCTTTTTTTTTTCTAGTTAAATTTGATAAAAAATAATAATTAATTACTCTAATATTAATATGAAATATTTTATTTAAAAAAATAGTCGAAATACTTACATTAATTTCTTTGTTACCATCTTACTATTTTAATTATAAATAACTGTAACTTTAGAGGGTATCAAAGAATGTGCAGCTTGGATTCTAAATTAAAAACTCTTGTATTTCATATCTAGCATAAATTATGGAAGATTAAAAATTTTCTAAAGCTTGAAAATAATGCTCTTATTTTAGTAATATTGAACCTATGTTATTATAAGTAATTCCTACTGCTTTTATATTTCCAAACTATTTGAAAAATTCAATGTTCTCATTTAATTTCAATAACTGTTCAGTATCGTTTTAATTATAAAAATCTTCTGACGAGTAAAGCATAATTTAATAAATCTACTTGAAGCTATCATATAATTAGCTTGCATCTAAAGATAATAATTAGTCAGCGGTAATAATATCGAATATGCTTGATGATAATTTTTTGTCATTCATTTTAATTAAAATATCAGTTAATTAGTTAATTGAAATATAAAAAATATTCTTTATTTTTGATGTGTAGTATGTGATGACTAAAATGGATATTAAGCCTAGAATGCCAAATGATATGTTGAATGCTAAAAAGTAATTTTAAAAAAAATTTTCTATTTATTATGCATGAATTTTTAAATTTTCATTTGAGATAATATTAACTTGTACATAAGGAAATTTAATTAAATACTGGCTAGCTTTTTTATTATTTTGAAGATTTTAAAATTAGGGACTCTTATCAATAATGTAAACAGGGTTTAAAATCGCTATTGTTTTTGTTCCATTTCTATCATATGAAAAGGTTTGATTAAAAGAATTAGCTTCTTCTAAAAATTCAGTATTTAGATTGCTTATATTTTTGAAAATAGGATTAGCGTAATTCTAATTAAGAGTATTGTTAAACTTAAATGCTTCATTTTGTGATTACAAGTGTAGGTTCTAAAAAGTAAACCTATTTTGTAGAACTAGCAAAGTTCTAGAAATAATTTTGAGTTTGATTAAAATATAATCCTGAGCAAATCACGCTTTGTAAATCGTCTGACTATGTAGTTTAGTTAAATAGCATAATCCTTTAACATGATAATGAAGATAAAGAGGGAGTAGAATATCCGTAAGTCAAGCTTGGTGGATATAATTGTACAGATTCCTATTAAGCAGTTAAAGCATACCAGTATCGACATCGAACATCATTCCCAGTCTTACAACTCGGAGCTTTATGTGAAGCTTTTAAAGTAGAATTAACTCCAGTAATAGCATATATTGCTTCATATTAAAAGGTTTCAAAGAAATCACTTATAGCTAATGTTTTTTATCTGAGATATCTTAGTATTAAAAAGCTCTTGAAAGAACATGGTATTAATCCAATATTTTAAGTTTCTATTATCCTATCTAATCCATTTAACTTATAGTACTATAATTTGTCTAAAACCTATATTTAAAATTTGTATTTATTAACATAACATATATTTATGCTTAAGATAACTTGTTAAAAAAGCCAGTAATCTCTACTTTTTATGAGATCAATAATTTTAAATTATATATAATTTTTAGCCACTAAGATTAATTTATTTTTAAATTAAAATTAATAAAATTTAAATGCTTCTAAATTTGTAATAAACAATGACCGGAAAAATACACATTTTTGTTTTATTTTTTGAAAAAGAAATAAATACTAATTCAAATAAATGTATGAAAATGCCTTCTTTTAATTTTATTTTTAAGGTGTAAAATAAAAATATCTTTTTAGAATAGTATAATTTGAGTTTAAACACTCTTTTTTACCAGCAATTAACAAGAATACGGTTTCTCGCAAACATTTTCAATATATATGGATCAACTTGGCTATCGTGGAGCTATTATACGGGAACCATGGAGGATTTATGTTTAGGATTAGATTTGACCTAACCTTAGATGAGCTTAGCTAGAAACTAATTCAGAGTTCTAACATATAAAGGAATTTTTTGTATCTCTTAACTAAGTTAAAATGATATTTATTGACTAAAAGCTTAGCTAAGCATAATTTAAGTTTAGAATAAATTATTTTAAATCTAATTATTGTAATCCTTTAAATAAATAAGAGCTACATACTAACTCATAATTGCAATAGTGAATACTAAAATTATTGGTAAACTAGCCAATCCAACAACAATATACTTAATTCGCATGGCTTGTATTAAAAAGAACTTTTTGTTTTTATGCTTATTATTAATTAATTATTTATTTTTTTTTCTTTTTTAATCGAGTCATATAAAAACATAAACCTATAAAATCTATTCTTGAAAAATACAATATTTTATTATCCTAATTTTTTATTTTTTATTTTCATGCATACCATAAGTAGTAAGTATCGAACTGATTTCTTCTTTGTTTTATGATTAGCCATAAAAATTTATAAATGTAAGCTGGAAATGGTATTTAAATCCTGAACCCATCCCCCCCCCCCCCTCCATTTTCTTTCTTCTCAATTATTTCTCTGTTTATGATCAAATAAAACTTTTTTATTTGTAAACATTAAAAGTATTTTAGATATTTTGTTGGTTTTAAAAGTACAATAGCTTTACATTATTTTTCATTAATCTTAGATTAATTTACAATACCTTTTTTAATCTGTTGTAACTAAAATTTATTTTGATAAACTTTAAATCTAAATAAATCATTATTGTTAATTGCAAATTATAAAACTAAATTTAATTAAAATTTGAATAAAGCTATAAAGTAAATATAAATGTGGAACCTATTTAATAATATATTTTGTTATTCCTTTTGAATTAAAATACTTAAAAAAATTGTTGAAATATGATAATAAAATCAACGACTTTTAGTTTAAAATTGAAATGCTATTGAAACACGCTAAGAAATCAAAGATATGAAAATTAACATTGATTATAAATATAATATTTAATTTTTATGAACATTTGAATTTTTTATATATTAGTTTGTTGCTTAAATTATTTAAATAAGCAAAGTAAGTTGTCATAATCATTATTAGTTTTTATAATATTACTTTTATTCTTATTAAAATTAAAGATCTTTTTATTATTTATAATTTATTTAATTTTAGAAAGCAATTTTTTTGTTCATTTTTTTTCTACTATATTGATTTTTTTGTTTTATTTTTGAGGCAATATAGTCTCGTTATATTTTAAAAATTTAGAATATTTATATAAATAATTTAAATTTTATATTTAATGCGAACTTTCAAGTATTTGCTTCATAGCTTTAAGTCTGTACTTTGAAGTAGATTCTTAAATTAGCTTTTATTGTATGTTTGTATTTAATTTAATATTTGGTTCCTCATTAAATAATCCTATTTAAGCTAAAGTATTTTTTTAAATGAACTCTTTTAATTAACTATTATCAACTTATTCTTTTTAATCCACTACTGAGTTGGTATTTTAGATATTCCTGTTTTAATTAACTGGGATTACTTAGTTTATCTTATCTTTTTTGTTATTTTCTTAATTGTTAGCATTTTCAATTTCACCAAAATCTGTTCTTCTTTTAGAATATGAAGTATTTATAGAAGAGGACCTCTTCGACTTTCTTGAAATTGCATATTTTTTGTGGTTGTATTTACAGTTCATATAAAGCTATTGCAAAGGTTCATTCTCATAAATAAAAATTGTTTTAATTTTCCTTCTGTCTCCTCTGATGGGAGAATTGGTGGTGCAGTTTTGCTATTTTTTAAATGCTTTACTGAGGGAATCTAAGATTTTAGATTTTTTTATGATAGGAGTTAGTGTATCAATATCATTAAAATTGGGTTATTTTACAGAGTTGGTTTCTGCTTCATTTAAGTCATTTTCACCATAATATTAAAGAGGATTTATGGAAAATTTATGTCTTTTACTATCTAAAGTATATACATTAGGGGAATTAATAGAGGATCTAGTTTAGCGGTTTGTACTGATTAAAGTAGAGAGCTAACTTTGATTACGTTCTTAACTTTAACTTATCAATGGGTTAAAAGGTTTGGGATTTAATGTGAGATAAGAATCACTAATCTAAGGGTTATAAGATTCTATTTTATATTAATTTTATTCAAAGTGTTAAACTTGATGTATACTGCTATGATACGAATTGTTTCTTTCAGAAGAAGCGCTTATTGATTTTGATGTAAAATCAGTTTTTAAATATTTTTCTTATTGATGTTTTTGAGTTGGAAAATTATAAAATTCGTATGATTTAATTTTATCTAAATTCTAAGGTAAAAGTGATTTAGGGGATTAATTTAATGATGCAACGAACTCAGCAGATTAAGGAGATTAAATAGGATTAGATATATGATGTTAGAAGCTACTAATACTATTATTATGATTATTATTATTTTAGGAGTAGCTGAATGACTAGTTTCTTGTTTAGTATTTTTAGAAAGGATTTTAAAAAGCATAAGGATCCTAATAAAATTATTTTTCTTCTTTACTGCTATTTTAAGTGTAAATCTTTTTTTCTGAGCTTATTTGGAAATTTATTAAATGATTACTAGGTAAAGATTTCAACTAATTACTGCTTATTTTTTCTATTTATTCCAATTTATTCTAAAATTCTTTTTCGCTATTTTTTTTATTGATGTGATGATCTAATTTCCCAAAATAAAAAAATATTTTAATAAATTTAATTAAATAAATAAAAATTTGTTAAGGAATTTATTTAATTTTAAATTACTCTTTGTATTTTGCTTTGTTGGACTAAGAGGTTCTATTTAAGCTTAAGTTTGAGAATTTTCTAATATTTTTTTTACTTGCTCATGGTGGTTTTTTGTTGCAATTTGTATCTTTCTAAACCTTGACTATCTCCAACTCGATTTATTTTATCTTGCTTAGTTAAGGTTCTCTTTAAGATCTGAATTATCAAGAAGGAATTTGATTTAATTGCTATCAAAAACATAAAATATATTTGTTGTGCTAATGGTTATTGCTCTAGTAATTCTTTTTATGTCTTTTAAAATCTCTGACTCTCCAAAGATCTACCCTGGACCTATGATAGCAATCTTAAAAAACAACAAAGTTTAAAGTAAAAATGTTATTTAAATTAAATTATTTACCTTTTATCTTCTTTGATGGAATTACTGATTAATAAAAGGGTAATCTTCAAATTTCTTTTCTGTTTCTATAATATGATCAATCTAAATTTTTTATTATATAAATTCTATGAAAGGTGTTTATTTTAAAAATTACTTCTATTTCTCCTTCCTTTACTAAGTAAATTCTATCTGATGGATCATCTTCCTTGTATATAATTGAATCTTTTTTGAAACTTACTGACTCAAGCTTAAGCAGTATTTATTCAATTTCAGATTCATCAAATTTGCTAAAGAGGCAATTGTTTTAAAAAAATTTAATTTCATTGATTAGCTTCTCTTCGTGATAAAGCATTAAAATCTCCTCAAAAAAGGTTTTGTCTAATATTGCTAATTTAGCCTCAACTGAATTCACAATAGCAAAAGAAGATCTCTCATGCTTATTTTCAAGCATTTCACTTCCAAACATATCACCTGGTTTATATTCGCTTACCTAATAGAAGTAGGTAAAAATAATTAATACTTAAAAAATTTTTCGTTTTTTTGTTAATACTTTATCTAGATTGCAAAAAAATGAGTTTAGACTCTTTCCTTTAAAGGATTAGTTTATATCAAAATCTTTTATTAGTAAAGATTTATTATATTAGTTATTCACTTTAAAATTGGATGGACTCTCTAAGTCTCCTATACTATTTGCACCAATAGAGTCATCATTTTCATTCTAATTATTATTTTAATTTCCGTCATCTTCTTCAATAATAAGTTGTTACTGCTGAAAATTAGAATCATCGAAAGGGTCTTTACTTTTATTTTTCTGCTTTATTTTATTAATAGAGCTGAAAATAAGACTACCTTTATTGAATCCTCCAAACTTAGATTCAGAAAACGAGTTAAGAGTTTCATCAAAAAGTGACTATTCGCTTTTTTAATCTTTCTTTTTAATACTGCTTTCTCTATTAGTTTACTGCTTCCAATAATACCTTTAAAGTTATATTTATTTTTAAATTTAAGATTACTTACTCAAAATAACATTTTAAGATTATGATTTATAATACTAAATCGATAATAAATGCTAACATTAATTACCTTTTGAGAAGTAAATTATTTTCCCCTTAGTAGCTTAAAGCAGGAGAAGTCGGATTATTATCTTTTAATGGCGACTTGTTCTATTATTTTGAATTTGTTAATTCTATTTTAGGTAAAATTTAATTTGTTTGTTTGAGCTTTTAAGAGGGACTTTCTCTTTTATTGAGTTTAGGATTTAAAGTTCTACCTATGTTAGAAAAATTATTAGCTCTTCTATTACTCTCTATAATTTATTGTATTACTTTTTATCTATTTTCCATTCTTTGAATATCAAATTATATTTTCTCCTACTCTTTTTTTCTTTATTCTTCTAAGTTTTTTGCTCTTTCCCTCATCATATATCTAACTTATCTATCTAATTTTTCTTCACGCTTAAGCTTAAATCGCTATAAAAGTTCAGGGTCATTAATCAATTTGGCTATTTCTTTATCTTCATAATAATATTATGTGCTTTTTAAAAGATTTTCATTATTTTCCTATTTAATTCCTTCTTTATCTTCTTGATCTATATTCAGGTTATTTTTTTATACATATGAATCAATTTATCCTTTCAAACAAATATAAATGGTGTCGCTAATATTGCCTTGCTCATAAATTAACTCGTGCTACTTGAAAGTTTGTATCTTAAACCCTGAATACATTTTTTTCATAATCTAGCTAGGTAATTAATATGAAAGATTTCTTATAAAAATTTATTTTTTAAGATACTTTCCTACCAATTCTAAGTCCAAATCGTTTTTCTCATCTTTCTCAATTAAAGAAATCAAAAACTAATTTTCATAAGGTAAAGGTAAAAAACAAAATAAAGTTCAGTCATGATATTGAATATAAAATTATAAGTTACATCTGCATCTTATTCATTTGAAATATCCTATTAAAGCAGTTTAAATTATTTCATTAACAGCTTTTGATGGCCTTTTTAGAAAAAGATTAATTAAAATCCAATTAAAACTAATTTTTAATCAAAATTACATTTTGACAAAAAAAGATTTTTGATTCATGTAATTATTCATAATAAGATTTTCAATGGTTTTTAAATCGCCATAAATAATACTTAATTAATAAACAAGTAAATAACCATTCAATTAATTATGATTTACATTCTAAATATTAACTGTAATTACATATTATCAATTTGTTTAAATCAGCATGGTAACTCAATAAGAGTGTTTGTTGATTGATGCAATAAATTAATATTTTAGTAGAGAAAAATAATTTATTTTAAAATTTATATTTTTTATTTTTATTTTTTAATATTTATTTAAAAAAATTTTTTAAATATGTTTCAATTTTTTTTTTCATGTTTTTATAATTGTTATTATTATAAAAGTAAAATGTTTTTGTTTCTAAAATAAAATATTATTTAATATGATTTAATGAAAAAGATTTTTAAAATTCTACTAAATAATTTTAAATAAATATGTAAATTATAACTAGGTATTTATGCCATATAAATTATAACATAATAACTTATACAGATTCTTAGATAATTGATTAAAAAATATTCAATATTAATAGTTTACAAGAGGAATTACTAAATTAAAATGCAAAAAAACAACTAAATAAAATGTAAGATCAATATATTTATTCAAGTCTTTTAATTATGTATTTGATAATTTCATTAAAAAAAATGAAATTGAAAATATAATTTAATAATTTTTTGATCTTCACAAGATATAATTTTTTAATAAATTAAATTTAGGAATTAATACTTTTTATTTTTTTTTTCAAAAGGTTTAATTTAAGGTAAAAAAAACCCTAGGTTATGACAAATTATTTATACTTTTTGATTTTTGTAATCAAATCAATTTTAAGCAAGTAGATTCTTGAAAATTCTATCATTCTTTAGTAAGATTCTAAACAGTATGCTTGCTTTGCTTAAAACACTTATGACTCTTTCAGTGGTGTAAGCTTATTTAAGAATTTTTAAAGCGATATTTAAAGCTTAGCAATAACAGGATGGGTATTTTTAAATGGCTTTGGCCCTGTTGCAAATTCAATAGTTTAAATTAAAGAATAAAACAATTAAATTCTAGACTTTACTTATGTCTCAAACGCAATGTTTGTTACAAGATATTTTACAGAGGATGATAAGCAATATACTTTTAATGTTAAAATAAATACATGGTATTATTTTATAGTATTTCTTTAAAAAATTGAATTAAGTGGAAGTTTTTAATATAATCTTCAAATTTAAGTTTTCTATTCAAGCGACAACATTAACATAAATCAGTATACAATTACTTAGCAAGCAGAAAGTACTGATGTTTAATTTGATAAATCAAAATTATTACTTAATATAGGTGGGTCTGACATTTTTAGTTAATGTTGTTGTTAGCTGTAACTTGTTTATTTGTTTTGGAATCTGTAAATGACTGATTTAGATATTTTTGGTATACTAAATGATCCCTCTTCAGGATATTACTAACAAATTTATTCTATTGATTTTTTTGGATAATTAAGTGGTTCAAACTATATATTTAACTAAGGCTTTTATTAAGATAAAATTGATGTAATATACCTTAATTAAGATCCTTCAAAACTATATTCAAATCAATATTTTGCCTTTGATACTTTTATTTCTGAAGCAAAAGGATTCACATTTTCTTTTTATTTTAGAATGCTAGAAACTTCAAGCTTAATAAATTAAATAATGATAGTATAAAGTAATGGCAAATATATTTAGCTAAATGTAAATCCTAATAATTAAATATTTATCTTATAGTAAAGTAGTGAAGCTCCTTATTTATTATAAACTGTTTAGCAGAATTAATGGGTTCAAGTAATATTTGTTTTCTAGCTTAAGTTAAATGCATAAATTTTTGTTTTAGTGTCATTAGGCACAGACTAAAGAACATATAAATGTGAAAATTAAAACAATTAATATTTCGATTATTTTACTATCTAATTTGGAGACAGTGTACTACATAACAAGTTTTAAATAGCTTATATAAATCTTTTTGAAGGAACTTTATTATCATAATCTCAAGAATGCAAATACTAAATTCATCTGATTGATTCTATCAAATGTTTACAATGCAACCAAAATTATCTTTTAGATGTATAAAACGGTTATACATGTGTGCCATAAATGAACTTTTCATCTTCTATTATTGGAGTTAAAGATTAAATGACTCCTCATATATACTGCAGCGGAGATCTTATTTAAGATCAATAATCAAACAAATGCGTATGTAGGAGATAGCATTATTTAAAGAATGGAATCTGCTATAGATGTCCTCTTTACTGTGATGGATGTGTTGATTAAAATACTTGTTTAAAAGGGGGTGATAATAGAATAAATGGAGTATGCTAAACTGGAAATTTTGATGATGGATTTTCTTGTTTATAAATAGGAAATTATTACTTTATCCCTACCAATACTAACCGAGTTTTTTCAGTAACTAATCTAAATTTTGATCCTGAGTGCAATTAAGAAGTTAATTTGTAGTAATTTGTTTATGGAATTATAAATGATAGTTTGATTTTAAATGAAAATGACTCATTTTTCTATGGTTTTACTATGCTTCAGAACACTCCTTCATAACCAGATTCTGTAATTTCTTACTTCAAAAATAATGGGTAAATTGCCTTTTCAATAAGATATAGTAAAGTAAATTAATGGGAGTACATTTAATTTGTAGATTATAACAATGCTGTCCTGTTAAAGTACAGATTTAATTCTTAATTTTAGTTTTGGATTGGAATTTGGACAAATATGCAAAAAGTAATTTTTTACTTATACAATTATGGAATTTATTTCGCATAAACAATATTACTAGGATTAAGTCCATAATATAACCAACCATAGATCTGTATAGGGCCTTGTAAAATTCCTTCCTTACCATATTTTTGTGGGTCTATGTTTGACTCCAAGGCTACTATTATAATAAATTTAAAACCTCCAAATAATTAGCTTTAAACAGATTAACAAATTTTTAACTTAATGACACCTTTTAATTAAGTTATAAATTATTTTATCTTTGATGAAAAAGACCCAAATAATTTAACTAAAACACTAGACTAAATTACTTAAACTTATTTGCTAACATATACAGCTGGTGTTTAACAAAATGATAAATTTAAAGGATTTGCTTACTCTAAAAACTTTAATGGTTAAGTATAAATTAATTTTGAGCATTTTGTATCTTTTTCTTGCTCGATTTATATTAGCGTTAACTAAAAAAGAAATTACTTTCAAAGTATAGGTTTTTTTAAGGTTTTATTTGTCCCTCACGAGTCTCTTTAATCCTCTCTTATATAAATTTGCAATTTTAATATTTGTTTGTCAACTTAAAAGTGCATGATATAATTCTAAACTATCAGCTAATTATTAATAATTCATAGGCTTAAATGTAAATATTGCAATGATATAAACTCTTAAGAATTTACTGTAGTTATTAACTACTGCTAAGAGACACTAACTTTTTAATAATAATTTACTCATACCACATAAACTTAACTCAATATCGGAGTAGCATAAACTGATGATGTCATATACTTTAACTACCTAAAATATTATCAAGAAAATGGATTTTTTTATTTGAGCTATGATTTAACTGATAAGTGCTTTATTTATATAAATCTAAGTTAAATGAAATGTATTTATCCAAAATAGAATTATTATTTTTTAGGTGATTAGATTTTATCATTATAAGAATGTATAGGGAAGAGCTATTATGGAAATTATGTATATTAAATTAATGAATATTCAAGGGAATGTATTTAGACTTAATTAAGTAGTTAACTTTGTGTATAAATTGATTATGAAACAAATTAATGTCTAAAATGCAAGGATAATCTCAAAAGTAAAGAATCATTTTGTTTAAGCTGTATTGATCGGTATTTTTTAGATAAATCAAATTAATGTAAACCTTGCCATTTTAAATGTGTTAAATGCAAAGACTTTTATGATAATTGCTTGATTTGTAAGTATTTAAATAGCTAAAGACCTCCTATTTGTGATTGCTTTCCATCATAATTTTTAAATAGTAATTAGTAGTGCATAAATTGTTCAAAGAAGTGTTTAAATTGTTAAGACAGTCCAGATAAATGTACTTAATGCAATAATAGAAGAGTTATTCCTCCAGCTTGTAACTGTAATGAAAAATTTTATTTATAAAACGAAAACTGCGATGATATAATTTGTGATATTCAATGCCAAACTTGTTAGTATTAATCTAGCTAATGCTTGTTGTGCAAATAAGGGAGAGAAAATCCACCTTAATGCAGTTGCCTAACTAATTATTACCCAAATATAAATGGAGATTGCCTTCCTTGCTAATAAAATTAATACTTTGATTCATAAACATAGTCTTGTAAAGATTGTGATAAAAAGTGTAGTTAATGCTAAAAATTTAAAGATTTTTGTACTGAGTGCTAATCAAACATGTATCTTTAAAATAATTAATGCCTATGTTTAGAGGGAAGTAGTGCTTATTACTAAGGATAATATACTTGCCTACAAAATATGAAAGTAAATTTAGAAATAAAGCTCATAGATAACTAGTATTATTTATAATTCACTTTTGAAAAAAATATCATATAAATTAATTTTTAAATATTAGATATAAAGAATATAATATCTATACATTTTTCTTAAATTCCTGAAGATTTCTACTCTCTTTCATATTTTTAAAGTACTGAAAACTAATTATTGATAAAAATTAATATTAATTAAAGCTTTTAAACATTGTAAGGAAGTGTATAGATATTATAGCCTTATTTGTTTGTTGATATTTCTATGAAATATGTCTTAAGCAGTATTTATCAAACAAACCCATTTCAAATAAAGTTAGGTCCGTTTATGCTTACTAAAGAATATCTATAATAATAATTCTTTGATACATTACTAAAATCTGTTTAGAGTGTTGACTAAAATTTTATAAATGTCCTTTAATAATTTTAGATAGTGTTCTATTTTTTAAACACTGTCTAACCTACAGCGATGATACTTCTATTTAATACTTAGCTTCCTCCAAATTTTTATAAATTATGCTAATTATTTGGAGCATTTGTATTTCCATTTGTCCCTGACTATTAAATACAAAATTATAAAAACACATTTTAGTTATTTGGCTTGGTCTTATCAAACAAAGATATTTAACCAAGTAGCAATAAGATATTAAATAGATTAGGGTTTAGTAACAGCTTATTGGTAAATATGCAATTAATTTTTCTAAAATAGATAGTTATTTCTTTTATTGCATTAATTGTAATTTTAATTAAATTCAAGCATTTCTAATTATAAAAGAGTAAAAAATCCAATTTACAAAAACTAAGTAATTTTTAAAATATTCTATTCAATAAATTTATAGAAGAAAGTGAAATTAATTTTCTATTAACTTTATTATCAATTTTCTGTCAATTTGAAGATTTATAGCAAGACCTTTGGAGCATTAGGTATGGAATATACTTAACTGGTTTGCAAATAATTCTTATAGTAACATAAGCTCTTTTTATATTAAGAAATTTAATTAAAAATAAAAGTTTTTAAAGTATAAAAGTATTTACTTCTAGAATAAATAATAACCATAAATATCTATCAAAATACTATTTCTATATCCAAATGTTGAAGAAATACCTTGTTTTATTTATTAAATTTTACATGTATGATAATTATACTTTTGTTGGCATAGCAGTATCTCTAATATTTTTAATATCTGGTATATTATCATATATTTAATAGCCATACAAAAATTCATTTACTAGATATTTAAAAATATTTGGGGAATTAATACTATCTGTACTTTGGATTATATTGATACTGATAAGAAAAACAGAAGATTAATTTCAATAAAATTACTTGATTAGCTCTGATTTATTAAATAAATATCTTACTTATGGATCAGTAGCTTCTATTATGGTGATTGTATTTAATTTTTTATTTTTATTAGAGTTACTATCACCTTTAGCAAGATATTTTTACAGTATAATACTTGCTTTAAGGAAAAAATAAGAGTAAAGTACAAAAAGTAATTAACTTAAAAAAAGTATATTAAACATATGAAATTTGCTATTTCAATAAAACAATAGCAATTAAGTAAAAATTATTAAAATATTTCCTATTTATTTCGATAATAGATATTATATCCTAGATGCTTTAGGATTACACATATTTCCTATACTAATATTATTGAGTAATTTCTTAAAATTAATAATTTAGAATATCTTTTGTAAATTATACAAATATTTCTTATTATTTCTTTTATTATGGTATGTAAATTAATATTTAAATTAAAAATATTGATATTAATTATTTGTTATAAAAAATCCGTTAATTAATTATATTTAGACAAAATTTGTATTAAAATATTTTAAATACATCTTTAGTTTTAGAAATCTTATTTAATAAATATAATATTAAAAATATACAAAAAAGAAACAAATTTAATAAAATATAAAAAAGGTATTTCATATGTAATTTAAATAATTGTAAGGTAAGTAAATTGTATTTCCTTTATTGTTTGTCCAATATATAATTAGCATTTTGTTGTAAATATTAAAATAAAGTTAATATTCAATATTTATGGTTGCTTAATAATTAAAAATATTTAATGACAAATAAATTATCTTGAAGGTTTTTAGAAATCTATAATTTTATGTATTAGTTGTCATTCAAAAACAAAGAAATTAGATTTTTTCTGAATGAATCTATTCTGTTTACTCTAAATTTTGTATTACTTTATATGTTTTTACAAGTAACTTTTTCAAATAAAATTCCTAACAAATTTAATGTAAATTAAAAATAGTAATTTGTTTAAAAACAATCAAATAAAATATAAGAAGCATCAGAAATTTACTGATCATCATTAAACAAAAAGTTTTATTTGAGAATTTCCTATTTACATTTTTTAATAAGATAAATATATTTTTCTTTTTTCTTTTTATTTTATCACTGTAATATTAATAATAAACTTATATATGGGTTTTAAAATTTATTAATATGATTGTTTTAAAAAATATTTTTACAATTTTTATATTTTTACAGGCAATTATTCAAAAATATTTATTAATTTAGAATTTAATTTTTATATGAATTGATTTATTCTACTAACTATTATGATTTATTTTTATTTTTGATTATTATAATTCCATATTTGTCATTTGAAGATGTATATTTTCTTATTTACTTTTAGCAAATAATAGATAGTCCTAGCAATCATGTTTTTATAAAGAAAAAGAAAGAAATTATAATACTTTGTATTATTTATTATTAATTTTTTAATTAAAAAATAAGCATTAATCAAAAATTAAAAAAATTAATTATGAAAAAGCAAACGAATTTTATCATTTTAGTATAAATGTTTTTCTTAATAAAATCAATTTATCCTAAAAACTACTTCTAATTGAATTATGATGTAAAGTTTTAATAGTCACGCATTGCTAATACACATTAGCTAATTCAAGGAAGCATTATATTTGCAGAGTCTGATTCTACTTAATCCTATGTGAGTTAACTTTCAATATCAGGGTGGTTTTTTATGAGATATTTCTATGCTAACACTTTCAATATTTTTACTATTTCACAAATATAATAGGAAGTTCTTAGCGTATCTTATAATAGTAGTAATCCTTATTAGATTAAATAAGTATTATTATCTTCTTTTAATGACATTTAGAGTGGTATTCCTTTAATCAATAATTAATGGTATTTAATTACATCTTAGATAAATATCTAAAATAGTTAAATTTCTTCGGAAACTTATTTTCACTAATATGGATAATTATTTTATGCAAGCTTAGTTTCCTAATCTTATTCTTTTAGCTAGCTTTTATTTAAGTAAGATTTAGCAATTGAATTAGGTAACTCTAAAGTTTATGGTGTAATTGAATCTCCTTTCTATTATAAATATGTTTATTTTTACTGGGATTCTAATATTAGTATCAGTAATATATCAAACTATATGGATGATTATACTGCTCTTCAAACCTAGTTAGTATGGAATTTTGACTTCTTCTATACTAAAGCTAATCCTAAGACTTATTTTAATGTAGCTAAATAAATGAAGATATATCCATCTAATTATGATACAGGTGATTCTTAAATTCTACTTGTAAAATAAGGAACGGTATTTAAAACAGATTACGTTAATCCTCTTGAATTTGGAGGATTAGTTGTTACTTTCCACTTTAAAATATCTTCTCTTTAGTTCGCAAATTTAAAATTATTTTAAATAGTAAATAACTAAGTGTAAATTAGTATATCCTTAGATTCTTCTTAAAATATATACTTAAATACATAATAAATTTAAGGAGTTTAATATGATAAATGGAATTAAATCACTCTTATAGTTAAGACTTTAATACTAAATCAGGTTTACCTAATTGTAAACACACTACAAAATCAAGCTTAAAATATATCTTTTAATTAGCAATTTTTACTTGGATAGCTTTAATTTGGAGATTTGTAAAACACATCAGATATCTAATTTAGTCACATTAGATATTACAAAGGAACCTTTCTCACTTCTAACGAAGGAAATTGTTTATTATAAAATTCTAGAAACACTGTTTCTTGTATAATTTGTTAATCTGGTTTTTTTATAAACTACCAAAGTAGTTTAACTTGCTCATCTTAAATATTGCCTAGCATTGATGTTAATAAAGATAATATAATTGATTGGAATGAAAATTTTTAGAGTTGCCCTAAAGGTATGGTATATGATCCTATTTCATATCAATGTAATTGCATGAATCAATTCTACCTTTAAAGTAATAATACATGTGCAAAATGTCCAAGCTACTGTGATGGGTGTATTAACTAATAGACCTGCATTTAGTAAGATCCATAACGATTGGCAAATGGCATATGTCAGAATGGGTATTTTGATGATGGGTATTCTTGTATTACCTAAAAACTTACTATCTTCAGCTAAAAAAATATCTTGAAAACATTCTAAGTACCTAATCTGAATCCCATTTGTTCACAATCAATAAACCCTACTGATTACACATTAAATGATAGTTCTCTAAAATTATCATCATTTGATTCTTACTCTTTTTTATTTAGTTTTACATATTAGTTTATTGATAAAATAAGCAACTCATCTATTGCAATTTTTAGAGATGGAATGAATGAAATTTTTACTTTCTCTTTTGATCTAATCTCAAATATTTCCTATTTAAATTTTGAAGTATACGGATAAGTTAAATACAGGGCTATTATAAATTCTAATTAAACCGTTTGGATTAATTTGTGGACTGATTTAAATTCAGTGACTATGTTAATTTAATCTTGTTCTTTATTTTTTCATACTACTATTAATGTCGATCTTAAAATTAAATTGACAAACCCATCTTTTTGTTTAGGTCCTTGCAAATCTTTTTATCATCAAGGATATTTATGTGGAAATATTTAGGATAGGCCTTTGATATTTATCTAAAATATAACAAACCCAATTTATGATTTGATAAGTTTGCAGATGTTTTTATCAAGCACTGTAATTAATGTTGCTTTATTTAAAATTAGCTTGTTTTTAGATTTATCATAAATTTATTAAAATTAACTTCAATCCAACCCTTCTTTGACTATAAATTTTTAAAACACACCTGTTATATTACATAAATTAAAAGGTTATGGATTTAATAAGTAAGTAAATGCAATCATTCAAAATATTAATATTTCAGGTTATTATTGGATATCCTTTTATTGCACAATTCTTCCAGTTGTTATCAATTCTTAAGTATCATTACTATCTTATACTTTGAATGGAGGTAATGTTGAGTATTTTCTTGTTCCTAATGGATAAAAAATATTAATAAGAATTTGTTTCATAACATAGTGCATAGATTCAAAATATTCTATGTTAAGCCTTAATGAAAGCAATAGTTTATTTATTTTAATGAGAAATCAAAGCTCTTTTTCTGCTGGAGTTTTTTTTATTGAGTTTGATGTGATATGCAATTATCTTAGAGAATAAATTTAGTTTTTGAATAAATTTTTTAACACCAATATACCAACTATTAATCTGAATATAGGACTTTAAACATAAGATACTGATGATTTTTTATTCTATCTAAATTTAATTAATATAGACAAAGGTGATGGCTTGTACTACTTTGATTATAATCCAAATTAAGATTGCTTTATATTCTAGCAAATAGACTAAATGAATTGCATTTATTATAAAAATAACTTAATAAAATATTAAGATAAATAAATAACTATTCAATAATGCTTAAGTTTTAATGATAATAATCCATTTACGTTTTTTATTGCTAATCTTTAGACAAAAGAATGCTAAAATACTCATTAATAATTTCCTGGTTGCCTAAACGTAGATTTTGTTAATAATACTCTTTAATGTGTATAATGCATAAAAGATAATACTGACCCACTGAATAACTGTTAGTGCTTAGAAGGTTTTTATTATGATAATTAAAGATAACTTTGTCTTTAATGTGATATAATTTGCTAAGCATGCGAAGGTAGTAAGAGTAATTGTACTAAATGTAAGTAGGAAAATCAAGTAATTCCTTCATGTAATTGTCTTTTAACAAATCAATTTTTGAATTAAAGTTTTGAATGCTAGCAATGCTCTTAAAAATGTGATTCTTGCTTAAAAACTTAAGATTTTTGTTTGATATGCTCAAACTATAGGATAAATCCACCTGAATGCAACTGTGATTATGATAAATTTATGGAAATCAATGGTATATGTACCTAAATTGTGTGTGATAAATCATGTGATAAATGCTAATTTGACATTTCAAATTAAAGTATAACTTGCTTAAAATGTAAAACAGGGAGAGAAAATCCTCCATAATGCACTTGTTTGTAAAATTATGAGGAAAATAGTGATGGTAGCTGTTCTCAATAAAAATGCAATTTAGGTTATTAATATGACTCAAACACTAAAAATTGTATTGTAATAGGTTGCCCTGTTGGGAAATCCTTGACTATTTTAAATAATTAAAAACTTTGCTTAGAAAATATGGATGTAAGTTTATCAGTTTCCTTAAATACAAGTAATTAATATATACTTTAATTTAGGTTTGATTAAACTATTTAACAACTTGATATTAAATACCAATAAAATATTAGCAGTCTAATATAATTAAGCTTTTCTGAAATTTAAGATAACTTTTATAATTTAAGTGATCCATTTATTAAAGAAAATACTCTTTTTGTTAAATTAACTATCAATCATAGCTTTTATGCACAGCAAGGATATATCTTATTTTTAGATAATACAAAATTCGTTAGTACTTCATAACAATTTGTACTAAATTAAATTTATACAAAAAAACAAATTTAATTTGAAATAGGTCCATTCCTACTTGAAGAAAGTACTTTAGCTAATAAAATGGCTGATCAAGCAATAGACTATTTTAAAAACTAAAATTAAGATACCTTGAGATTTTTTTAAAGCTTTTAAATAATTTTGTATATTTTAAATACAGTATAACCCTCAGTACTTTTCTTGCTGCTGAAAGCTTAATTACCCCCTAATCTCTATAAATTTTATTAAATGATTGGATTGTTGATATACCCAGATGTGGTAGATTATTAATCTACAAATTTTAAGTAAGAATTTGAATTATTCTATATGGATTTGAACTCTACAGAAGTTTACTAATCTGGCAACATAATATTTAAAAAATTAGGATTTTCTAATAGCTTTTTAATAAATGTTTAAATCATAATAATCAAGTATTTATTCCTTTTTTTGTTGATTATAATTACTTCAGCAATAATATAATAAAATATTCATTAGCTAAAATACAGTAAATTTTTATAGAAATTTCAATCTATAAATTAAATTGCAAAATAAAGAATTAATTCAGAAAATGATTCAAATTTGCTGATGGTTATTCAATCAATTATGGTTTAGTTTACATTTTTAGACTAATAAAGTTGGGCAGTAAGATATGGTTATTATTTAGCAATACTTTTTCTTCTTCTTCATTTTATATCATTTTATTAGAATTTTAAATATATAAACGGGATATAAAAATATTAAGAGTAAGATTATTCATTTTAATTTGTTGAAAGACTATAAAATTAAAACAGCAAATCAAATAAATATTATTTCTTAAGTTAACTAACTAAAAAATATTTAGTTTTGATTATATTATTTTCTTTTGTAGAGTTCCCCATCATATCTTGCATATTAAATGCAGTAGTCTTTATTATTTCAGCAACTTTAACATATTTGCAGAAGCCTTATAAGAATTGCCTAAGCAGATACATTAAACTAATTGGTGAAATTATTATGTCTGTTTGTTGGTTTATTCATATATTTATTGTAATATAAGAATATAAGATGGTTAAGTTGACAACATTAGATCCAAATGATTTAAACTAATATTTAAGATATGGAGAAATAGTCATCATACTGCTAATTATATTTAATATTTTGTTTTTAATAGAATTATTTGCTTAGCTAGCTTATTTATTATAAATATTAATTGCAAAAATTAAAAAATGAGCAAATTAATTTATAATAAAATAATTAGAGGTGTGTGTTGATTAAAATTAATGTTTTTATTTAGTGTCCTAATTCAAATTGTCCTTTAAAATAAAATTTTATTTAATAAAGTTTAATTTAAATAACATATTTAAAGATTGTTTATCAATTCAATTTAAATATTTCTCTTTACTGTATACTCTCATTAATTAAGACCCATATTTATAAAAGTAAAATATTTTTGAATTAAGACTTTATTTTTTTACTAAAAATTTTAATTTAAAATAATATTTTTTAGAAAAATTTAGATTTACAATAAAATATTTTTGAATTGAATTCAATATTATTTTTGGTTCTTTATCTAATGATATTTCTTTTATTGAATTAATTTTCATTTTTATTCAAAATAAAAAAATTAGAAAAAAAGTGTATGTGCTTAGCTTAAATTTTTTAAACTAATCCATACAATTATTTTTAATTTGAAAATTTGGAAAAAATAAATTATTGATTGGATTTAGTTTAAGAAATGTTGAACTGGGTTTGTATACTTTTTTTCTAATTTTGGGTAAGACTAATTTTTCTTGCTCATTTATAAAAAGACTTGTATTATGTGTATTAGAATTTCACCTAAAATTAGTCACGACCTGCAGATTTTAAAATGGGGCAATAAAAGTAAAATAAAATAAAATGATGAAAGCATTAGTAATTAATATCATAATTAGATTTCTCATTTGCATTGAAATTTTTTCTTATTTAAATTTTTCTTATTTTTTAATGTAAACAAAAATCAATTATTAATTTTTTGATAAAACCTATTCGTTGATATTTAATAGTATCGAATTTATTTACCATAAATTAAATAGCGCCAAAAAGGAAAAATATATGTAAAATAAATAAAAAGCTGATTAATTTTAAAACAAAAGAATTGATTTAATGAAAAGAGTAAATTAAAAAGTATAAAATTTTATTTGTTTATTTTTAATAACAATTTTAGTTTCTAACGCATAAAACTATTATAAGCTTTCAGATGGAACAAAGAATATTGACTGTGATAGATCTTTAAATTCTCAAGTAGTATAGGGTATTGATATTTTTTAAAATATTGGAATGAATACTCCAGCTTCAATTTTAAATATCTCTGGATGGATTTTCTTAAGAGGATTTCAACAAAAGTACTATACTATATTTTCTATACATTAGGCATCTAATTTAGTATTTAGCCTTTAATATACGCTTGTTCCATCACCAAAAATGAAAGTTAGTTTATATAGCATAGAATAAACAGCTGATTACTCATTTTTAACTTAAAAACAATGGTTATTTTTTATGACTTAAATTAATTACAGTTAAGTTTCTTTAGATTTATCATCAAATACTTATTTAATAGGAAATAACATTAATGTTGCTCTTCCATCAATATCTTTTAACACTAATATCATCCATTTTGATAAAAATAATTTATTTATTAATTTTGGATTACCTGGAAATTCACTTTCTGTAGAATCTTCTTGTTCTTTTACTAGAGATTTTGTTATTGTATGGGACTTTGATTTTTATTAAAGTATATTAGGAGCTCGTAGATATGATCTTAGTGATTTTAAGACTTATATACTCTGGAATTATGATCTTTTCTATATTAAAAGTAATTAAGGCTAGTTAATAAGCTAATAAGTAAGGCAGAGTAAAATAAAATCTCCATTCCTTTTCTAACAAAATGATAATTAAGGGATTTTTGAAACTTTGAGGGCTGGATAAGTTTTCACTACTGATTTTATCAATGTTAGTGATGTATAAGGATTAACCTTTTCTTTTTAAGTTTATCTAACAGGCTAAATATTGAGTGATACACAGATAATTACTTTAATTTCAGAAAATAGTTAACTTATTTTTGGATTTAATAAAGATTATAAATTTACCTTAAAAATAATCGAAAATGGAAACAAATAAGAATAATAGACTTTAACAAGAACTATATAATATTAAGAGTGGACATAATTTTTGATGGTATTCAAAATAGGATTGTTTTAAAAGGTTGAATTTCAAATCTCTTCGAACAGTGTAATGAATAATTTTAGATTTAAATTGATTAAAATTAATAAAAATGTTTAAGTTAAATTTGGCTCTACAGAAAATTTAATAGATATAAAATTTAATAATATCTTCATCGTCAAAGGTAGCTATTTAGGTTTTTCTTAATAATGTTTATACTTATTACCAACAAATTAATGTTTAGTTTGTAGCTAAGGCTAGTATTCAATCGATTTTTAAAATAATATGAATTGTGTTGACTAATCGACAATAATTTAAAATCCAGATGGATTCAATCAAAAGCTATGGAATAGAACTGTATGTGCTAAGGATTAACTTAATGTAGGTAATGATTGTATTTGTAGAAATTAATTTTACAAATAAGGAAATGAGTGTTTCAGGTGTCCATCTTATTGTAACGGATGTATAAGTGCATAAATATGTAAAGAAAAGCATATAAACAGAAACAACTAAGGATAATGTTAAAGTGGATATTTTGATGATGGTTTTAATTGTATTTTAAGAGCATTTTCTATTTAAGAATATAATTTAGCGCTAAATTATTAAAATTCACAATATAATTGTAATCTAGCCATTGCCGATTCTAGCTTACACACATTTGATAATAATTTAATGTAGATCTAATAAAATTAATCTATCCTCTATAGTTTTAGCTTTAGCTTAACATAACAACCAGCTGATTACAGTGTTATTTCAATACTTACTGATAATGGGATAGAAGTATTTACAATTTTAGCCATAAATAAAAAAATACATGTATATATTTAAGGAAACGATGCCCTTTCTATCGAATTTAAGGAAAGCGAAACGACATGGGTTGCTATTTATACAAACTGGAATCTTCTTCAATTATTTGTATTTACAGAAGCTCAAATGAATGTAAAATCTGCTCCAATTAGTCCTTCTATAGCTATTAATTCACCAAAAATTTGCGTGGGTTCTTGCTACTCAACTGTATTCCCTAAATATATTTGCGCGAATTTAGGAGAAAGACCATTCATTTTAATTAAAGATATTTCTATAATCTAAGAAAAAACAGATATTTTATTTTTGATTTCTAAACCTATGATTAAAATCGCTCAATTTAGATCCATTAAATCTAGTTTACAGCCTGAATAAATTATACTAATTAATTAAAGCCAATAGATATTTATTGATTTTCAAGATAGCTTGAAATATATTGATGAATTTAAAGGTTTCTTGTTTGACCAGAATACTTCAGCTTAAATTATTTTAGATACAACCTACTAATCTCCAATTACATTTTCCACATCCATATTTATTGAAAAGATGGAAAAGACTGTTTTATTACTCAGCTATGATAATGTTCAGTATTACTTAGTTCCATAAGAAGATCTTAATAGGATTTTTATAAGGATTTGCTTCAAGCTAGATTGTGCTGATTCTAATTATTCAAGTTTAATTTTTAATGAACCTAATTTTCTATTAATTCTTTATAGAAATAAATCACCATTTACAACAGATTACAGCTTTTTATAATTTGAAGTGTATTGCAACTATAAAAAAGAATAGCTTAATATAGTTTAATCTGGATATCAAATTTCATTTTTTTCAAATTTGATGTTAGGTTTATAAAATTAATTAGACGAAACTTCTATGTTTTTGAATAATATTTCACTATATACTGGAGATGGATACTTATATTCTGACTATACTAACCTCAATAATTGTTTTATTTATATAAATATATCACCAAGAGAATGCTTAGTTGCTAAATAAGATCATTTAGTAATAAATGGCAAAGTAGCTTCCATTTAAGAATGCTTAAATTTAAATAAAAATTATATATAAAACTAAGGCTATTATTAAATCAATCCCTTTACAAAAGAATGCTTTATTAAATGTTTAATTTAAAATGCTTTTCCTGATTAAAAAAATAATTGCATTTGTAACAAAGGATATTTCTTGTCGATAGATTAGAATGGCAATAAATAATGTAAAAAATGTAGTAAATAATGCAAAACATGTTTAAATAATCAAGATTATTGCTTAGAATGCTAAAGCGACGATCTTATAGCCCCACAATGTTAGTGTCATAAAGATAACTTTTACTTAGATCAAAATAATTAATGTTAAATATGTTCTCCTCAATGTAAAAGTTGCGAAAAAAAGGAAAATAATTGCTTAGCATGTACTAATGGAAGAACAAACCCTCCTTTATGTGAATGTGATCACAGTGAATTTGACATCGATGGAAATTAATGCTCAAAAAGAAATTGTAGTAAAAAATGTTAAAAATGCTTATAAGATTTAAACACATGCACTTAATGTAGTAAATTTAGAGAAAACCCTCCTATTTGTAACTGTCAATATGGTTACTTTTAAGGCATAAATGAAAATTGTGTAAAATGTAATTTAAATGAATACTTTGATAATAATTTGAAAATTTGTATTCCATGCTTATCACCTTGCTTAACTTGCAGCTAAATTGGGTCTAATTGTCAAAGCTGTATAAATGAGTATATTTTAGATGGAAATGTTTGTAAGTGTCCGAATGGAAATATTAGCTAAATATCTGAAAAAGGTGATATTTACTGTTTAGAGCTAATGGATTTGACATGTCAAATAAAACTATAATAAAATATTTACAAAATTACTTTAACATTTGAGCATAGCTTAAGATATTTTGACATATAAGAAAAGAGTAAACAAATTGAAATTGTTTCTATTTATATTCCACAAATAGAATAATCAGCATTTTCAATTAATAATTTCCAAATATATAGGGAAAATCTTTCATTTGATTTCGTACCTAAAGCTAGTTTTTTAGCTTTGTCTGCTAAAATGTATATCAAATATCCCTAAATTTTTATTAGCCAAGATAGTAAATATATTTTATCAGATAAGTATGTTAAAAAACCTTTTGAGTTCGAAATTGGACCATATATTATATCACAACAAACTCAAGAAAGCATAGTAATAAACTCTGCTTTAGAGGTTTTAAATGATTAAAGTACAATTGTGGAAATATTTCAAAAATTACAGCTCACTTTGTACTTACTTAACACAGTATAACCATCTGCCATTTTTTTATTGTTAAATGCATAACTACCTCCTAATCTCTATCAATTCTTACAATTATTTGGACTATTTATTTACCCAAATGTCTAAAATTATCAATAAAAGTCAATTAAAACTAAGTTTTCACTCTTAGGAATTTCAATTAGTGAAGAAGAGGTTTCTTCACATTGCAAATAGACTTATTCAAAGCTTGGATTTTCGAATAGTCTTTTAGTTAATATTTCTATTATCCTATTGAAGTATTTTTTAATAGTTTTAGCATATATTATAATTGCCCTTTTCACTTCAATTTGCTATTATAAATCTGATAAATAGATATTTTATAAAATCTAAACGTTTTTATTTTAAAGACTTAACAATGAAAACGAAATAAATTTATTAATGGTGACTCTTTCTATTTTAATTCAATATGAGTGCATCCAATCATACTCTTGGTATGTAAGATATGGGATATATGCATCTGCTTTACTTATTGTATTAAAAGTTATTATTCTATTAAAAAATTATTAATACATTAACTATTAAGATGATAAAGAGAAAGTAAAGTCAACTAAAAACTAAATGTTAGAAAATAAATTTTTATTTTTTACAGAAAGATTAAAAAAATCATAAAAATATTTGATAAAAAATTATTTCTTCATTTAGATGATAAAAAAGTATATTTAGGTATTTATATTAGTTATTTTTGAGCAGCTTCCTTAGTTTTCTTGTTTAATTTGTGGAATAGTTTCACTATCATCATTTATCTTAACTATTTTAAGTAGACCTTATCAAAGTAAAAGATCAAATTTTATCAAAATCTTAGGTGAATTTTAACTTTTCATTTGCTGGGTTATTTTTATTATTATCCTTAAAATTGAAGATAAGCTTTCCTCATAAGCAATTTTCAACTAAGATTTAGTGGAAAGTTATTTAGAGTTAGGAAGGGTAGTAATAATATTATTAGTCACTTTTAATCTATTATATTTATTAGAATTTATAGTCTCAAATGCTCTTTAACTTTATGAAAAAGTTTTCAATAAAAAAAAAACAAATAATTTGCAATATAAAAATATGCATTAATGAAGTAAATATTTTATTTTTCTTTTATTCAATTTATTAAAAATGCATTTTTTAAGTTTCAATTATTTTTTAAAAAAGCAAATATTTCAATAACGTAAAATGATGAATACTTTTGAATTAGTGTAATAACTTGAAGAATATGCAAAAGAGTTAATAAAAGATTAAATTTATCCTGAAAGTGATCAACTAAAAACTATTTTTGATATAAATTTATTAAAAGAAGTTTTCCTGGAACGGCTATATTAAGACAATTATCTAATTTAAGCCTCTAATTTAAAGTAAAAATCAAAATAAATGAACTTCCCTAATTTAAGACCTTTCTCCATTAAATATCTTAATTTTTAGTTAATGGAATTTTTGATCTTTTAAAATTAGAGTAATTACAGTACATATGTGGTTTATAAATTGATTCATATTTTTTACTATAATTTCTTGGTGTATAGCTAGCTTTATTGTATTTCTTAAATTTTCAATAAGATATTATAATATTAATAAAATTTAATTTTAATTATGATTCAGTATTTATTTAAAAAATTAAATTATATTTCTATCAATATTAATATTTAATTAAATTTCAAAAGTTATTTCAATTTAAAAATAAACAAAATTTTTTTATTATTTAGGAAATTAAATATTTTGTTAATATTTAAATAATAAATTTTATTTTACTTAATTTGAAAATATAATTACTAAATAAGAATACAGATTGCTTTATCCTATAAATATTCCATAAAAAACTTTTTATTACTTGCAGTCAAGATTATTCTTTATAAAAAAATATTAAAATATACGTTTAAATGTATCAATTTCCTTAAATTTAAATACTTTTTATTTTACACTTAAAATTAAATTTTGATAATAATTTCTAATAGTAAAAGTAAATGTTACATATAAAATTTAAGAACTAAAAGAGTTAAAGTTTTAAAAAATTCATAAAATCTATTTAATTTGAGTTACCTAATATTTATATATTTATTTATAATATCTTTAATTATAATAACCTTAAAGATAGTTTAAAAAAATTAGATTAATTAATTGTAAATTTTTACTCAAATATCAATCTATTAATTAAATTTCTCAAAAAAATATTAGATTTTATTAATGACAGTAAAATTAATTTTAGTTTTACTAACAATTATATAATAATAAAAATCAATAAATATTTATTTTTAGCTCATATGTTTTTAAATAATACCTTTTCATAGATCATATTCAATTAAATTATTTTTTATTATTTTAGACGTTCAAAAATAGCTTTAGAACCCCTATAGGCTTTGTCTCAAAAATAGTTTTTAACTAAATTATTATTTGATTTATTTTATTTTTTCACCACTAAAAAATAAAGGTTAAATGTCACTAAATTCATAATATTTTGCTTTATAAATTAAATGTAAAATATTAATTTATTTTATTTTGTAAAAAAATCACAAAGTCTTACTAATATTAGAAATTATTCTTTGTAAATTAAAAATTTGATACAAAATATTATGAATTAAACATAGAGGCGAAGTGAGGTTAAGTTTATTAAAACACCTAATAAAAGTTTGATGATTTGATATAGATTTTATATTAAATTTGTGCATATATATTTTTGTCAAGTTAATGAAGGTAGAGAGGGGATATATAAAGGATATTTTATGAAATAAAGAAAGCGCTGCCTATTTTTAGGTTAATATTTAAATTATTAATAAAAGAATTATAACTATGATTATTTTAAATTACTTAACATTTCTGATATAATTAGTGTAAAGAAAATAAAAATCATACTAAAAATGAATATTTAACTATGCATAATACTAGCAATGTTATTTAAATGCTAATTATAAAAATTTTAATTTTGAAACATTTTAAAATATTCTGATTAATTAATGCGCTTTAAAATTATAAATTTAGATATCATGACATAATTTTTACATTCTATAAACAAAATGCATGGCTTAAAATTAAAAATTAGATTTATAACAAATCATCTAATTATCTTGATAAAAATTAGATTATAAAGGATTACAAACATTGTCAGGCTAATAGAAGAAAAGAGGTTTTTCAGAAAATTAATAGATTACAAATATTATATTTAATTTGAAACCTTAGATAATAAAAAGCTAATTTGAAAAACTGTAAATAGAGATATAGATATCATACAATTTATAACTTTGTAAATTAATAAATAATTGATATCCTAATCATTATTTCTCAAAAATTTTAAAAAATATTATGTAAGTAATAAAAAAGCATTTAAAAAATTTAAAAATACATTTTAAGTCAACAAATTATTGAAGAAAAATCTTTTTTAAGCTAATTAATTTTGATAAATAAGTACTTTTCTAGTAGATTTCATTAGAAAAATTTAATTTACAGTTTAAAAAAAAAATTTTTTATCAAATCTTACTAATCAAATAATTCAAACCATGCAAAACAAACTATTATTTGGACTGTGCTAAGTTAAGCGCATAGTACTCCTTAATTCATATACATATTATTTTATAGAAACTATTAGATTTAGCTTTATGAATATGAGAAAATGAAAAGCTAAAATTATAAATATAAATAATTGACTTTTAAAGAATATTTCATCATAAATAAGGGACTTTATGAGAGTTTTTATACTTGTAAAATAAAATTCATAAATCTCATTAAAATCAATTTAACTTCAAGCAAGAATTTCTTCTTTTTAAAGAGAGTTATGACATAACTTCAATCCATATTTTTAGTATTAAAAAATTTCAAGATTTTTCCAGATTACTACTTTATTATCATTGAATTAAATAAATTTATAAATTGTATTCAAAATTTTTATTATGAATTTTTCTTTAAAAAAGTATAAAAATTTTTAGGTTAAATCTTTAAATCATAAAAAAATAAATACTTAAATTGTGTAATCTTAACAAAGTAATATAAGCAAGCAATTTAAAGTTAAATATTTGGCAATAACATTTCTAATAAGTATAATTAAGGAGTTTTTGTTAAATTAATATAGCATTATTTGATATTTTATATTTATTTATCTATAATTTTATTGATTTAATTAAAAGATTTTTATTTGATAAATCTGCATACTTTTTTATGTAATCAATAAATTTTTTTTCTATTGTTTTAATCGAGATTTAGTTTATTCATTAAAAAGTGTTTATTTTTTGATTTCTACATTTGATGAATTTATTAATAATCAATTTCAATTGAATAATTAGAAATATATGTAATACTTTTGTTTGGTCTAAGAAATAAGATAGAGCAAAATAAAGATTTAGGTTGCAAGTTATTTAAATGAATTATAAATGGATAACTTAAAATAAATTTAAGCTTTTAGCATTAGTATTTATATTAGTTAAAATGGTTCTGGGTGTTAACTATTAGCAATTAAATTATGATTAAAGGTTTAAATAGTAGCGCATCATTCATTCGAACTAATTTTATTATGGAAATTTTTTGTTTTAAAACTCTGATCCTACATCATCCAGCATAAACCAATTTGCAATCTCAGGATGGTTTTTTATAAGATGTTCTAGTATTGATTATTATAATTTTTTTTCATTTATACTGAAAGGATAATAAATATTGAGCGTATCTTTTAGTTTAGGCAATTTGAAGGTTAGATAAACTCTTCTCTCTTCTAATCAAGACTAAACAGTTAATACAATTGCTTTCAATAGTTGGTTTTTGATTAAATCATAAATAAGTGTATAGAATAATTAAGTTATTGCATAAACATCTGTTCATAGTTATGGGAATTTATTTCTGGCTAATATAGCTCCGGCACCACAAAGTTTTAATTAAATTTTTTCAAAAGCAGATATAACTCTAGAGATAGGAAATTCATCTTAATTATCAGGAATATATGAATCTTGTGCTTATTCTAAAAATGTTTACACCTACTGGGATGAAATCATTGATGATAGTAAGACTTAAAATTATGTAGATGATTTCACAGCACTACAGACCTAACTCGTATGGAATTTTGACTTCTTTTATACTAAAGCTAATCCTAAATCTTATTTTAATACAGCTAAATCAACAAAAATATATTCAACTAATTATGATTTAGGTGAATCATAAATCTTACTTGTAAAATCAGCCACTTAATTCTAAACAGACTATGTTAATCCACTTGATTTCGGAGGATTAGTTATTACATTCCACTTTAAATTAACTTCTCTCTCTTTCGCAAATTTAAAATTATTTTAAATTCTAAATCAGTAGGTTTAAATTTCTATTTCAGTAGATTCCTCTTAAAATATTTATTTAAATACATAGTAAATATAAGGAGTATAATTAAATTAATGGAATTAAGTTACTCTAATTATTAAGACTCTAATTCTTAATTAAGCTTTCTTAATAGTAAATACATTGGAGAATTAAACATAAAAAGTAACTTTAAGCTAACAGTTTCTGTTTGGCTAACTTTAATTTGGAGATGCGTCAAATACATAAGACATTTAATTCAGTCATATCAGATATTACAAAGGAACTTTTCTTACTTCTAATAAAGGAAATTGTTTATTGTAAGATTCTAGAAACACTGTTTCTTGCATTATATGTCAATCTGGTTTCTTTATCAACTACCAAAGTAATTTAACTTGCTCATCTTAAGCACTGCCAAGCATTAATGTCGATAAGGATAATATAATTGATTGGAATAAAAATTTTCAAAATTGCCCTCAAGGTATGGTGTATGATCAGACTACATTTGAATGCAGCTGTTTAAATTAATTTTACATGAAAAACGATAACACCTGCGCAAAATGCCCAAGTTATTGTAATGGGTGTACAAACTAATCTACTTGCATATAGCAAGATCCATAAAGATTAGCAAATGGGATATGCCAGTAAGGTTATTTTGACGATGGATATTCTTGTATTAATCAAAAGCTAACTATTTTCAGCTTAACAAATAATATAGTGAAAATATTCAAAACACCTAATTTAAAGCCTATTTGTTCACAGTCTATAAGTCCCATAGACTATACATTAACAGAGAGTGTTCTTAATTTATCTAAATAAAATTCATACTCATTCTTATTTAGTTTTTCTTATAATTTTTAAGATTTTTAAGATAACTATTCCTTCGCTGTTTTTTCAGATGGAGCTAATGAAATATTTACTTTTTCTGTTAGCTAAACTCCAAACTATTAATTCATAAATCTTGAAGTATAAGGATAAATAGTATATAAAACTGCTATCCTAACAAGCTAAGTAGTTTGGATTGCATTTTGGACAAACTTAAAATCAATAACTTTATTAATATAATCATATTCATAGTTTTTTCATACTTCAGTTAATACCAACCTTAATATGATATTAAATAATCCTTAGTTTTGTGTAGGACCTTGTAAATCTAAATACCATACTGCTGGGTATTTGTGTGGGGATCTTGAACATAGACCTTTAATATTCATATAAAATATAACTGATCCAATTTATGATTTGACAACTTTATAAATGTTTCTGTCTAATCCTACAGTAAATGTTGCTTTATTTAAAGTAGGATTATTCTCTGATTTAACACAAATTTACAAAAATTAATTGACATAAAATCCTTCATTAATTTTAGATTTTTAAACCACTCCTGTAGAGATAAATAGACTAAAAGGTTTTGGTTTTATTAAATAAGTCAAAGCAGTTGTTTAAAATATAAACATTTAAGGTTATTATTGGATTTCATTTTATTGCTCTATACTACCTGTCACTATTAATTCTTAAGTGTCACTTTTATCTTATCCATTGCATGGAGGAAATGTTGAATATTTTCTTGTTCCTCATGGACAAAAAATATTGATAAGAATTTGCTATATAACTTAATGCATCGATTCTAAATATTCGATGTTAAATTTGTAAGAAAGTAATAATTTATTTATTTTAATGAGACACCAAAGTCCTTTCTCTGGTGGTATTCACTTTATTGAATTCGATGTAATATGCAATTATCTTAGAGAATAAATTTAATTTTTAAGTGTTTCATTTACTTAAAATATTCCAACGATCAGCATTAATATAGGCCTTCAAACATAAAACACAGAAGATTTTCTATTTTATTTAAATCTAATTAATATAGATAAAGGTGATGGTTAATATTACTTTGATTACAATCCTAGTTAAAATTGCTTTATTTTTTAGCAAATAGACTAAATGAATTGCATTTATTACAAAAATAATTTACTTTTCTACAAAAATAATATGATTACAGTTTAAGAATGTTAAAGCTAAAATGATAATCAACTGACTTTTTTTATTCCAAATCTCCAAACTAGAGAATGTATAAACACATAATAAACCTTTCCTGATTGTTTAAATGTAGACCTTGTTAATAACAATTTATAATGTATTAAATGTATAAAAAATAATACTGATCCATTAAATAAATGTTCTTGTATTGAAGGATATTACTTAGATAGTTAAACATAGCTCTGCCTTAAGTGTAATCCCATTTGCCAAACATGCTAGGGCAATTAAAGTAATTGTACAAAATGCAAATATTCAAATTAGATAACACCTTCTTGTGACTGTCTTGAACCAAATTATTTTTTAGATCAAAATCTATCATGCTAAAAATGCTCATAGTAATGTGAATCATGTGCATATACTAAAGATTCTTGCTTAAAATGCTCAGTTAATAGAATAAATCCCCCTTAATGCTATTGTGATAATACAAACTATATTGAAGTAAATGGTGTTTGTATGAAAATTATTTGTGATAATAAATGTGATAAGTGTTAATTTGACTTATCATCGAACAGTATTATTTGTTTGAAATGTAAATCTGGAAGATAAAATCTCCCTCAATGCACTTGCATGAAAAACTATGCTGAAAATTCTGATGGTACATGCTCTCCTTGTCCACCTTCATAATTTTTAGACTAACTTACAAATCAATGCTAAATTTGCTAGTTTCCTTGTTTACAGTGCATTCACACAAAAAATTAGTGTACATTTTGCTATTAAGGATTAGAATTAGTAAATAACACTTGCAGTTGTGGATAAGATTAAGAAATAAAGTAGATATCTGAAGGTTAAACCTCTCAATTTGTCTGTATTTAAGCTATGAAGACAAGATTATCTGTAGTACTCTAAATAACAAATTACTTATTAACATTTACTTTTGACTAGAGTTTAAAATAAATTGATTTCTTAAAAAATCCTTTTTAAAATCTTATATAAATTCAGTTATCAAACGTTCCCTAATCTTATTATTCATTTGAAAATCCATAAATTAATTAAAATTAACTAACATTATAAATGAATGTCAAAACAAGCTTTTAAGTTAGTAGTGGCACAGCTCTCTTTTTACAAACAAAAATATTCGAGAGCTAAGATAATAGGTTTGTTCTAAGTTCATATTATCTTACAAATCCAATTTAATTTCAAATTGGACCATTCATTTTTACTGATTAAGTTGCTTAAAAAAACATGGCTGCGGTGATGAGTAATCTGAAGAGTAGCTAATATTAAAATATGTTAGGAGTAATTTAACAAACATAGATATTATTTTATCTATTAAATACAGCATAACCAACATTACTATTCTTACTATTAAAAGCTACCTTTCCTCCTAATTTATATATTTTCTACTAAATATTTGGAACATTCGTATTCCCAGGTGTTGTTAATTATTAGTCAACAGATTATAAGCAGAGTTATAGTTTATTTGGTTTAAAATTTGATTAATAGTAAGTTTTTTTAACTGATAACTAGATATTTAAACGAATTGGTTTTTCAAATACATTTCTTGTAAATACTTCTCTAGTCCTCTTAAAATATTTTGTGCTAATAGTCATTTATGCTATACTTTATTTAATTGCTTAATTTGTATCATATTTTTCTTAAAAATCAATAATAATTATATTAAAAGTCAAAAGTAAAGTATTATAAAGGCTAAATGCTGAAAATGAGGCTAATTTACTTATTGTATTTGTGTCAATTCTACACTAGTTCACTACATTTTAACAAGAACTCTGGTCAGTTAGATATGGGTACTATTTGGCTATAACATTTTTAGTAGTATTTATAGTGTCATTTTATCAGAATTATATTTAAATAAATTATTTATAGTTAAGAAATGAATATCTTTACTCATTTTAGTTTACAAATAGATTAGCTATAGATAAAAAGAATCTTTCAGCTATAAAAAGAAACTATTTTCTTATTTAACTTATAAAAAAGTACTTAGCAGTAATAATCTTATTTAGTTTACAGAATAGTCCTTATGCTGTGTGTGTCATCCTTGGTTTATTATTTCTTATTTCTTCTTTGATAACGTTTTATTATAAACCTTATCAGAATCTTATGAATTCGATTATAAAAATAATAGGTGAGCTTATATTTTCTGCTGTGTGGTTTCTTCATATTTACATTTTAGTAATAGAAGATTAATTAAATAGGGAACAATAATTTGAATAGAGTACAATTGAAACTTATTTAAATATAGGCAATATAGCAATAGTGCTTCTCTTTATTTTTAATCTAATTTTCTTAATTGATATCTTTATCTTCCTTTTTAATATTGTGAAAAACTTCTGCAAAAAAAAATAAAACCAAAAGTTAGAGCAGAAGCAAAAATAAAACGAAGAAAATTAATATATGGAATTAGAAAAAATCCTAAAAGAAAGTGTTAAAGTAAAATAGTTTAACAATTATATTCAAAAATTATCAATTAAGAAAGCGTAAAGTGTTGATGGAAATCAAAACTAGTAGTAATTTGTCTCTTTAAAAACAATTAATGTTAAAAGTTATTTGGAAAGTCTATGAATTTATACTATTGTATAAATATTTTATAATAGAAGTTAATTAAACTACTTAAATAATTTAAGCACATAAATTTTAATATTCTTTTTTTTTATTTAGTGTATTTTTTCCTTAGTTAATTGCGATTTATATTAATACCAAAGGTTTAAAAAAAGTGATTTTTTAAGAATTAGGTTTGGCAATAAACACTCAAAGTATTGTTTTAAAAAATTTATTATGGTATCTATTATTATATTAAAATAAATTAAACATAATTAAAAAAAATTAGATTCTTTAATTGTAAATAAATTTATACTTGATATTCACCTGTAAATTAAATTTCTTAAAAAAAAATATTAGATTTTATTAATGACAGCAAATTAATTTTAGTTTAACTAACAATTTTCTATTAATAAAAATCAATAAATATTTGTTTTTAACTCAAATATTTTTAAATAATAACTTATTATTGATTATATTCAATAAAATTATGTTTTATTATTTTAGATACTCAAAAATAGCTTTAGAACATATATAGGTACTTTCTAAGCGTATATATAATATTCAAAGTTAATTGGTAAACTATGTTTCTAGATGTTAGATTATGATATTTTGATTTGAGAAGTAAGATAATAAATTAAACTACTTTAAATTTAAATAGTTTAGACTAATATTCAATATTAACAAAAAAATAATGAAGGAATATAATAACTCATAGTTTAAATAGAATTTAATTTATTTTTTATTTGATATTTTTGAATTTATTTTATTTTCTTTAAGCTAAAAAATTAATATTAAATGTCCACATAATTTAAATAATTTCATTCATTTATTAATTAAATATAAAATTTTAATTTATTTGATTTTGTAAAAAAATCTCTAATTTTTACTAAAATTAGAAATCAATGTTGAAATTAAAACTTTGATTTAAATTATTATAAGCTAAATATAGTAATGAGGTAAAGTATATCAAAACACATAATAATAGTTTAATTTTATGAGATGATTTTATTAAAAACATACACATATACTTGTGAAATTAAGTAAGATAGATAGGGGATATAAAAAGAATTTTATCTGAATTATGAAATAAAGAACTTACCACTCCACCTATTTAGGTTAAGATATAAATTATTAATAAAAGAATTATTTTTACAATTATATTAACTTACTTAGAATTTCTGATAAAATTAGTGTTAAGAACATAATAACCATACAAAAAATTAATAATTAACAAAATTTAATTTCATCGTTAATTATAAAAATTTTTAATTTAAAAAATATTAAAATAGTCTGATTAGGTTAATCAATAAATACACTTTTTAAGACTTTCTAAAAATTATTTAATAGCTATTATGGCATAAATATTTCATTTCATAAAAAAAATGCATGGCTTACAATTAAAAGTTAGATTTATAACAAATAATCTAATTATTTTGATAAAAAATAAATTATAAAGGATTACACTCAAGCTCATTGAAAAAAAGAGGTTTTTCATAAAATTAAAAATGTACATATTTATATTTAATTTGAAACTTTAAATTATCAAAAATTAATTTAAAAAATTAAAAAATAGATTTAATTATATATCATACAATTTATAAATTAGAAAATTAATAAAGTATTTATTCTAATTTTCAAAAATTAAAAAAAAACTATTAAGTAATTATAAAATATTTTAAAAATACAAAATACATTTTAAGCCAATTAAAAATGGAAGAATAGGCTTTTGCTAAATAATTTTGATAATTATGTATTTTCTAGTACAGGTAAAAAGAAATATTTATCAAATCTTACTAATCAAATAATTTAAAAACACTCTAAAGTATTATTTAGAATATTCTAAGTTAAATGCAAAATATTTCTTTATTCATATTTATGTTATTTTTTCTTGTTTTTTAATGATCAATCCAAATTTTAGTATTAAAAAATTTAAAGATATTTCCATATTACTTTACTATTAAATAGATTATAAAATTGCATTAAATAAATTTATTTTGAATTTTACTTTTTTATAACTACAAAAGTTTTTAGATTAAGTCTTTTAAACATCAAAATAAAAGATAGCTAAATTATATAATCTTAGCAAAGTAAAATAAGCAAGCAATTTAAAGTTAAATGATTTGAAATATCAGCATTATTAATAAGTATAGTTAAGTCTTATGTTAAATTTATTCATTCACTTTATAAAATTTTTGATATTTTATATTTATTAATTTATAATTTTATTGAGTATATTAAAAGATTTCTATCTGGTACTTTTGCATAATAATTTATGTAATCAATAAATTCTTTTTGTATTTTATTTAATCTAAATTTAGTTTATCCATTCATTAAAAAATTTTTATTTTTCCATTTCTACTTTGAATTAATTTATTAATATTTGATTTAATTTAAATAATTAGATATTTATGAAATACTTTTGTTTTGTCTAAGAAATAAGATAGAGCAAAATAAGGATTTAGGTTGCAAGTTATTTAAATGAATTATAAATGGATAACTTAAAATAAATTTAAGTATTTAACATTAATATTCGTATTCATCGAAATGATTCATGGTGTTAACTATCAGCAATTAAATTATGATTAAAGGTTTAAATAGTAGCGAATCATTCATTAGAACTAATTTTATTATGGAAATTTTTTGTTTTAAAACTCTGATCCTACATCATCTAGCATAAACCAATTTGCAATCTCAGGATGGTTTTTTATAAGATATGTTGGTATTGATTATTATAATTTTTTTAAATTTATATTGAAAGGACAATAAATATTGAGTGTATCTTATAATTTAGACAATAAAAATGTTAGATAAACTCTTCTCTCATATAATTAAGACTAAACAATTAATACAATTACTTACAATAGTTGGTATTTGATTAAATCATAAATTATTGTATAGAATAATTAAGTTATTGCATAAACATCTGTTCACAGCTACGGAAGTTTATTTCTGGCTAATATAGCTCCGACAACACAAAATTTTAATTAAATTTTTTCAAAAGCAGATGTAACTCTATAGATTGGAAATTCATCTGAATAACCAGGAACATAGGAATCTTGCGCTTATTCGAAAAATGTTTACATCTACTGGGATGAAAAAATTGATGATAGTAAGACTTAAAATTATGTAGATGATTTCACAGCACTAGAAACCTAACTCGTATGGAATTTTGACTTCTTTTATACAAAGGCTAATCCAAAATCTTATGTTAATACAGCAAAGTCAACAAAAATATATTCAACTAATTATGATTTAGGAGAATCTTAAATCCTTCTTGTAAAATCAAACACAGAATTCAAAACAGACTATGTTAATCCACTTGATTTCGGAGGATTAGTCATTACTTTCCACTTTAAAATACCTTCTCTCTCTATCTAAAACTTAAAATTATTTTAAATTCTAAATCAACAGGTTTAAATTTCTATTTCTATAGATTCATCTTAAAATATTTTTTTAAATGCACAATAAATTTAAGCAATTCCTTTGAATTAATGGAATTAAGTTACTCTTATTATTAAGACTCTAATACTTAACGAAGCTTTCTTAATAGTAAATACATTTGAAAATTTGATATAAAAAGTAACTTTAAGTGAACAGTTTCTACTAGGTTAACTTTAATTTGGAGATGCGTCAAATACATAAGACATTTAATTCAGTCATATCAGATATTACAAAGGAACTTTTCTTACTTCTAATAAAGGAAATTGTTTATTGTAAGATTCTAGAAACACTGTTTCTTGCATTATATGTCAATCTGGTTTCTTTATCAACTACCAAAGTAATTTAACTTGCTCATCTTAAGCACTGCCAAGCATTAATGTCGATAAAGATAATATAATTGATTGGAATAAAAATTTTCAAAATTGCCCTCAAGGTATGGTGTATGATCAGACTACATTTTAATGCAGCTGTTTAAATTAATTTTACATGAAAAACGATAATACATGCTCAAAATGCCCAAGTTATTGTAATGGGTGTACAAACTAATCTACTTGCATAAACTAAGATCCATAAAGATTAGCAAATGGGATATGCCAGTAAGGTTATTTTGACGATGGATATTCTTGTATTAATCAAAAGCTAACTATTTTCAGCTTAACAAATAATATAGTGAAAATATTCACAACACCTAATTTAAAGCCTATTTGTTCACAGACTATAAGTCCCATAGACTATACATTAACAGAGAGTGTTCTTAATTTATCTAATCAAAATTTTTATTCATTCTTATTTAGTTTTTCTTATTATTTTTAAGATTTGAATGATAACTATTCCTTCGCTGTTTTTTCAGATGGAGCTAATGAAATTTTTACTTTTTCTTTTAGCTAAACTCCAGACTATAAATTAATAAATTTTGAAGTTTAAGGATAAATAGTATATAAAACTGCTATCCTAGAAACCTAAGTAGTTTGGATTGCCTTTTGGACAAACTTAAAATCAATAACTTTATTAATATAGTCACATTCACAATTTTTTCATACTTCAGTTAATACCAACCTTAATATGATATTAAATAATCCTTAGTTTTGTGTTGGACCTTGTAAATCTAAATATCATCCAGCTGGGTATTTGTGTGGGGATCTTGAACATAGACCTTTAATATTCATTTAAAATATAACAAACCCGATAAATGATTTAACAACTTTACAAATGTTTCTGTCTAATCCTACAGTAAATGTTGCCCTATTTAAGATCAGCTTATTCTCTGATTTAACACAAATTTTCAAAAATCAATTACCATCAAATCCATCTTTAGTTTTAGATTTTTAAAACACTCCTGTAGAGATACATAGATTGAAAGGTTTTGGTTTTACTAGATAAGTCAATGCAGTAGTTTAGAATATAAATATTTCAGGTTATTATTGGATTTCATTTTATTGCTCTATACTACCTGTCACTATTAATTCTTAAGTTTCCCTTTTATCTTATCCTTTAAATGGAGGAAATGTTGAATATTTTCTTGTTCCTCATGGACAAAAAATATTGATAAGAATTTGCTATATAACTTAATGCATCGATTCTAAATATTCGATGTTAAATTTGTAAGAAAGTAATAATTTATTTATTTTAATGAGACACCAAAGTCCTTTCTCTGGTGGTATACACTTTATTGAATTCGATGTAATATGCAATTATCTTAGAGAATAAATTTAATTTTTAAGTGTTTCATTTACTTAAAATATTCCAACGATCAGCATTAATATAGGCCTTCAAACATAGAACACAGAAGATTTTCTATTTTATTTAAATCTAATTAATATAGATAAAGGTGATGGTTAATATTACTTTGATTACAATCCTAGTTAAAATTGCTTTATTTTTTAGCAAATAGACTAAATGAATTGCATTTATTACAAAAATAATTTACTTATCTACAAAAATAATATCACAGTTTAAGAATGTTAAAGCTACAATGATAATCAACTGATTTTTTTTATTCCAAATCTCCAAACTAGAGAATGTATAAACACGTAATAAACCTTTCCTGATTGTTTGATTGTGGATCTTGTTAATAACAATTTATAATGTATTAAATGTATAAGAAATAATACTGATCTATTAAATAAATGTTCTTGTATTGAAGGATATTACTTAGATAGTTATACATAGCTCTGCCTTAAGTGTAATCCCATTTGCCAATCATGCTAGGGCAATTAAAGTAATTGTACAAAATGCAAATATTCAAATTAGATAACACCTTCTTGTGACTGTCTTGAACCAAATTATTTTTTAGATCAAAATCTATCATGCTAAAAATGCTCATAGTAATGTGAATCATGTGCATATACTAAAGATTCTTGCTTAAAATGCTCAGTTAATAGAATAAATCCCCCTTAATGCTATTGTGATAACACGAACTATATTGAAATTAATGGTGTTTGTATGAAAATTATCTGCGATAATAAATGTGATAAGTGTTAATTTGATTTTTCATCAAACAGTATAATTTGCTTGAAATGTAAATATGGAAGATAAAACCTCCCTCAATGCACTTGCATGGAAAACTATGTTGAAAATAATGATGGTACATGTTCTCCTTGCCCAAATTCACACTTTTTAGATGTACTTACAAGTCAATGCTAAATTTGCTAGTTTCCTTGTTTACAGTGCATTCACACAAAAAATTAGTGTACATTTTGTTATCAAGGGTTAGAATTAGTAAACAGCACTTGTATTTGTGGATAAGATTAAGAAATAAAATAGATATCTGAAGGTTATACATCCTAATTTGTTTGTATTTAAGCTATGAAGACAAAACTATCTGTCGTTCTCTAAATAACAAATTATTTATTAACATTTACTTTTGACTAGAGTTTAAAATAAATTGATTTCTTAAAAAATCCTTTTTAAAATCTTATATAAATTCAGTTATCAAACGTTCCCTAATCTTATTATTCATTTGAAAATCCATAAATTAATTAAAATTAACTAACATTATAAATGAATGTCAAAACAAGCTTTTAAGTTAGTAGTGGCACAGCTCTCTTTTTACAAACAAAAATATTTGAGAGCTAAGATAATAGGTTTGTTCTAAGTTCATATTATCTTACAAATCCAATTTAATTTGAAATTGGACCTTTCATTTTTAGTGATCAAGTTGCTTAAAAAAACATGGCTGCAGTGATGAGTAATCTGAAGAGTAGTTAATACTAAAATATGTTAGGTGTAATTTAACAAACCTAGATATTATTTTATCTATTAAATACAGCATAGCCAACATTACTGTTCTTATTGTTAAAAGCTAACTTTCCTCCTAATTTATATATTTTCTACTAAATATTTGGAACATTCGTATTCCCAGGTGTTGTTAATTATTAGTCAACAGATTATAAGCAAAGTTATAGTTTATTTGGTTTAAAATTTGATTAATAGTAAGTTTTTTTAACTGATAACTAGATATTTAAACGAATTGGTTTTTCAAATACATTTCTTGTAAATACTTCTCTAGTTCTCTTGAAATATTTTGTGCTAATAGTCGTTTATGCCATACTTCATCTAATTGCTTAATTTTTATTTTATTTTTCTTAAAAATCAATAAAAATGATATTAAAAATCAAAAGTAAAGTATTATAAAGGCTAAATTCTGAAAATGAGGCTAATTTACTTATTTTATCAGTGTCAATTCTACATTAATTCACTACATTATAACAAGAGCTCTGGTCAGTTAGATATGGATACTATTTAGCTATAACATTTTTAATATTTTTTATAGTGTCCTTTTATCATAATTATATTTAAATAAATAATTTATAATTAAAAAATGAATTTCTTTACTCATTTTAGTTTACAAATAGACTATCAAAAGATAAATCGAATCTTTCAGCTATTAAAAGAAACTATTTTCTTATTTAACTTTTAAAAAAGTACTTAGCAGTAATAATCTTATTTAGTTTATAAAACAGTCCTTATGCTGCATGTGTTATCCTTGGTTTATTATTTCTTATTTCTTCTTTGATAACGTTTTATTATAAACCATATCAGAATCTTATGAATTCGATTATAAAAATAATAGGCGAGCTTATATTTTCTGCTGTGTGGTTTCTTCATATTTACATTTTAGTAATAGAAGATTAATTAAATAGGGAACAATAATTTGAATAGAGTACAATTGAAACTTATTTAAATATAGGCAATATAGCAATAGTGCTTCTCTTTATTTTTAATCTAATTTTCTTAATTGATATCTTTATCTTTCTTTTTAATGTTTTTAAAAACTTGTTCTATAAAAAATAAAACAAAAATTTAGAATAGAAGCAAAAATAAAACTATGAAAATTAATATATGGAATTAGAAAAAATCCTAAAAGAAAGCACTCAAGTAAAATAATTTAGCAACTATTTTCAAAAATTATCAATTAATAAAGTGTAAAGTGTTGTTGGAAATCAAAACTAGTAGTAAACTATCTCTTTAAAAACAATGAATGTTAAAAATTATATGGAAAGTCTATGAATATTTAATAATATATAACTATTTTATATTAAGTATAAAATTAAATTTCTTAAAAAATTTAAAACCATATTCATTTTAATATTATTTATATTTATTTATAATATACTGTAAATGCTCATTAATTAAGGCATTACCTAAGTATCTTTTTTACCCCAAAAAAAGTGCCTTAAATAAAATTTTTTTATATTTAAATTATTCAAAAACAATCCTTAATAATATAATTTTTGGTAAATTAAGTCAATTAAAAGAAATCAAATAAATTATGAATTGATTATTAAAATTATATATAGGAATTTACTCACATGTTATATTTTTTAATGAATTTTAAATAAAAGATAAATTAAAATATTTCTTTAACAAATTTTTCCCATTCATTCAGTGTATAATCAATTTTACTATTTTCTTAATAAGAAATTCTGAAATATCATAATTGAATTTGAAAAGGAAAAAGATAAAAGCTTAATTGAATTAATAAAAGAATTTTTAATGAAATTTTCCTAATTACAATTAATTGCAAACCTCTCCTTATCAAAAAATCTGATTGTAAATGATAATTAAAATTTTATTGGATTATATTTTTTTGATAAAAGAATTAATAATTGCTCACACTAAATGAATTTAATATTAGAAAGATATTTATTTAAATTAGTCTGTTTTCTTCTAGTTTTATGCTTATCTGCATCTAGCTAAATTGACAATTAATACTTATGTATAGGAGACTACTTTGTTACACCCTGCTATCAGAATTTAAATAATAGAATTGATTACTTTTGCTCTGGAACTGATGTTTTTAAATAATATTCTAGTCCCACTATTTAAAAATTCACTATCACGGGCTGGGTTTTTTTAATGGGAAATATAAATTAGAATTACAATATCTTAACGGTCCTAGAAAACAATACTTTACTTTTTAAAATTGAATATAACATACAAATGTCTGTATTTACTGGAGCATTATTATCAAACACCCCCTAATCTTTTAGTTAAAGTGGGTCTTCTTCACTAATTTCAGCATGGTACTTTATAAAATTTAAGATGGAAGTATTGGTTGGTACACAATTAAATTTATATGCAAATATTTAAAGTGGTGGAACACATTATTTTTTAACATTGTCAACTGCAACTAGAAGCAATACAGCATTCTAGGCATCTAAAATGATCTTTGACTATGGGAATGGTTAGTCATTTTCTTAATATAGCTGTTTATTGATTTTAAATATATATATTTATTGGGATTCTGACCTATCAGATTCTAGCTATTTTACACTTTTTAACGATCTTTCTGCGATGGATATTTATTTGAAGTGGAGCTACGATACTTTTTACATCCAATAAAACTAAGGCTATTTATTATAAGCTAACAAACCTAATGGTAAACTTCCTATTGGTATTAATAGAAATGAATCTTTTGTATTGAAAAGCTAAGAATAAATAGTATCAGATTTTATTAATTCTTAATCAAATAGGGGATTTGTCTTGACTTTTCACTTTAAATTGGTTTCTTAATTGGGGAAAACTAATAAAATTGTGATTTTGGAAATAATTAACTATCCTAATTCTTAATTGATCTTCGATAATAATTAACTATATTTCTTTAATACTCTAATGGCAAATATTTAATTAAAAAAATGGAATTAAGTAACAATAATCTGTAATAAAATTGCCTCTTAATTTTATTTCATTCTCAATGATGATTAAACAACTTTAAATTCATTTACAAAGAATAATGCCCTCTAATTTTGTTAAATTTTGTTTGGAGATTCTAATAATACAAATTATTATTTATATTTAAATTATATAAGAGTATATGAAGGTATGTTTTTGAGCAGCAGTCCAACCTGCTTTATGCTACAAGCTAGAGGTTAACAGAATTGTATCATATGTAAAAGCGGTTACTTAATAGATTACTAGAATAACATGGATTGTGTTAGCCCATCTTCAAATAGTTAGAGTACAATAATAGATAATGTTAAAGACTGGTTTCCAATATAATTCAAATGCCCTAAAAATATGATTTTGAATAGCTAAAATGTGTGTATTTGCATGTTTTAATATTACAGAGTGGGTGATGATTGTTTTTTATGCAAAAATTATTGCAAAGGTTGTTTAGATGCAGATACGTGCATATAAATGGATCCATTAAGATAAAGAAATGGAAAATGCTAAGATGGTCTTTTTGATGATGGGTATAATTGCTACAATACTTTATATAATATTTAAAGTAGGATAAATTACATTAAAACGTTAAATCCTAATAATTTTCTTAGTGGATGCTCTTAAATTGGAACTCAAACTTCTAATTTAATTGATAATTCTATTTTAATGCTGTAAAAAGAGAAGGCATTCTTTTTTTCTTTTAGTGTGAAAGTCTATGACTCAGTTAGTTAAGCTGCTATAGCTTTCTTGTAAGATGGAACATCTGAATTATTCACTATAATGTTTGAATTGACCTCTTATAATGGATAAAGTTTACCATCTGTAAATCTGTATGTAAAAGGCTCAAAATTACTAAGTTTAATTATAGGGTAACAATCAACAGTATGGATAGGCTTATGGACGGATTTTAACAATCTTTGCTTTTTTATTTTCTCTGATATGATTATGCAATACTAAAATATAAATGTGAATAGTTATTTCTCAAGCTATAGTGTGCAAAATCCTACTTTGTGTGTTGGAAAATGTAGTTCTTAATTACAATCAAATTATGCATGTGCAGAGTATAGTTAAATTCTTTATATTTATAATTTAAACCAGATTAATGATTTAGCCCAAGCTAGATATTTAATTAACCTTTACACATAAACAATTTCATTATTTAAACTAGATTTCTTTAATTTGCCAACTTCTAACAGCATTAAAGACTAATCAAATTAGTATGCTTTAATTTCAAACTCAAAAATAATATCTAATAGATTCAAAGGAATTCAATTTACTTAAAATCTTTAAGCTTAAATCTCAGGTGTTGATATTTAATAAAACTATCCTAGTTTTTCGTGTTATATCTTTCTTGAAGAACTTACTTTTTAGCAAATGATATTTTAGATACAACTAGGATCTTCGTAATTATAGTATCATATAGTCCCATATGGTACAAAAGCTTTTGTTAGGATATGCTAATTTAACTTATGTCTTGATACAAAATACTCTATGCTTAATATTTATGAGCAAAACTTTCTATACATTATTTATAGAAAAATAGGAAATTTTCAAACAAATATTTATCAAGAGTTTGAAGTATTTTGCAACTATTAAAGAGAAGTCTTATTATTTTTTGTATAATAGTAAACATATCCAGTATCATTAAACATATTTATTTTTAAGCAAATCTATCTTTCTAATTTGTAAAATCAATCAGTTTATCTTAATAAAATCAGAATCGAAGCAGGTGAAGGATTTTATTATCAAGATTAAAATCTTTCCGAAAAATGTTTTTTATTTAAAAATATTTAATAAATGGAATGCTTAATCCCAAAAAAAGGATTTGTTTTTTATTAAGATAATTTATTAATCACAGAAGACGAATGCAAAAATTTAACAATTAAAAACAATTATTTTCATATAATAAATCCATCAACATAAGAATGTATTAATACTTACTTATCTCCATACTGTGAATAATTAGACGATATCGATGATTCTTTGAAATGTAATAAATGCTAATATATAGGCCAGGACCCTGACAAGAATTGTGAATGCCCATTTGGAAGCTATTTAAATGTACAAATAATTATTTTTCTTTATTAAATATTATATAATTTTTAATTTTTTTATAATTTTATTTCAGAGTTTATCTAATCCCAAAATAAATGATTTTTTGGTTAAGATTTTGAAAATTCATAAATATAGATAATTTAATCTTAATCTAAAAATTTGTACTTATTTCTTCCTAATTTAAAATTAAATATTAAAATTTGTAAATTAACTTGAAAAAAACCCCCTTCAATTATTTATTTTAATTTTTGAGTTTTTCTATTAATTCATCATTTATTCAAGGACCAATAAACCGAAAAGTTTTTATTAATCTTAAAAATTTTTATAAATAACCTTTTATATCAATATACCTATTAATCTAAATTTAAATATAAAATTTATTTATTAAAATTTATATATTCTTTTATAAATAAGATAACAAATTCAAAATGCGAATAATGCAATCCTTAATGCTAAACATGTGATGGTTCATCTAATAACTGTTTAACTTGCAAATATGCTAATTAAAATCCACCATAATGTGAATGCTTAAATTCAAATGAGTTTTTAGATGAAAATTACATTTGCAAAATTTGTTCCTATAAATGTTAAACTTGCTATTAGAGTGCTAATATGTGCCAAACTTGTTCTACTAATAGATTTAATCCACCTAATTGTGATTGTGCGCCATAGTATATAGAGTTTAATGGTTAATGTTAGCCATTAAAATGTGAAAATAAATGTTCAAAATGTGATTAGTCTACTTCTAATTGCATTGAATGCAATATAGGTAGAGTTAATCCTCCTCTTTGCAACTGTTAGCTTAATTACATTGAAAATTAAGATGGAACTTGTTCATAGTGTATTTAAGGATATTATTATGATTAATAAAATAATAATTGTCAATAGTGCTCAATTTAGTGTCATTCTTGCATAAATTAACAATATAATTGCACTTCTTGCAATTATGGATTAATTCTTTAAAAAAATAAATGCATTTGCTCAGATGGAACTTCTATGATTAAAAAAAATAATTAGATTTTATGCTTAAAAAATATGAATGTTAGTTTGAGTGTAATTTTGAACTCTACCTATTACTCTCTTGTTTTCAAATTTGATTATGATATTCAATAACTAAATAACGAATATTAAAAGAATATAGCTTAATTAATTTAAATAACTTTTTAAGAAGTTCCATAAAGCTTCTTTGAAATTAGTGATCCAATTGTTTAAGGAAATACAATTAAAGTTAAACTAAATATTTTTAAAAGTTTCTAAACCTAGCAAGGTTGGGTTTAATTTTTAGACAACACACAATTTATAAGCACTTCACAAGAATTTGTACTGAATCAAAATTATACAACAAACTTAATTAGGTTTGAAATTGGGCCATTTCTTTTTGATAAGAATGTTATGGATGGAGGTTTATCAGATTAAATTATTAATCAGTTTTAGGATTCAAGCAAAGATGTAGCCTTTAATTTTATAAAATAATTCTAAATAATTCTTTATATCCTGAATACAGCATAACCTTCAGCACTATTTTTGCTATTAAATGCTAAATTGCCTCCTAACTTATATAAATTCTATTAGGTAATAGGATTATTAGTCTACCCAGATGTGGTGAATTATTAATCAACTAATTATAGATAAAATTTTTAATTGTTTTACATGAACTTAAATCAAAGAGAAGTTTTTTTATCTAGTGAATCAGTCTACAAAAAACTAGGTTTTTGTAATAGTTTTCTGATAAATGCATAGGGTATTATAATGAAATACTCAATTATTTTATCAATAATAATGATTTTATCAATATTTTTATCTAAAAATTCCTTTTATCAATCTTATAAAATTAATAATAAATTGTTACGCATTAAATAGTTTTTTATAAAACTAGTGAATAGTGAAAATGATGCAAATCTTTTGTTACTGTTTTAATCAATTTTAGTCTAGTTTACATTTTATGATGATACTATATGGGCTATAAGATATGGATTCTATATAGCAATCTTATTTGTGTTTGTACAAATGATATCTTTTTATTTAAATATCAGATAAGTAAATGGTTAACAAGATTTTAATGAAAGGGATTATTCTTTTTAATTTATTGAAAGGCTGCTAGATACAAAAAATAAGTTAAAAAAAAATTATTTCATCATATAATTATTCAAAAAATATTTAGTTTTATTGGTTTTGTTCTTTTTTAGATAATATCCTATACTAGTTTGTATAATAAATGGAATCACTTTTAGTTTGTCGTGTTTCTCTACAGCTTTTATGAAACCCTACAAAAATTTAATTAGTAGAATTGTCAAAATAACAGGAGATTTATTGATATCGATTAGCTGGTTTCTTCATATTCCAATACTAGTTTTAGAAAAAAATTTTAGTTAAGAAACACAAATAAATTAAATGTAAATAAATTAGTATTTATTATTAGGTAAAATAATAATTATATTGATTATTATATTCAATATTTTATTTCTTATTTTGAAAATTATTGAAATAATGATAGAAATCAAAAATCTTTGCTTTTCAAAAGCATAAAGTGAAAAAAATACTAATTAATTAAGTATTACTAAATAACAAATTAATAACTTTAAAGATTAAAATCATATTAAATATTATAAACCTTAGACAAAAAATAAATGAAATGCTATTAAATTTTAATTAAAAAAATATAATATTTTGCACGAATTACTCATAATTCATATTTAAATTTATTTAAAAATATCTCTTTAAACTTTTTTGATGTAAAAGACAAAAATTATAAATAATGTAAATTTTAATTATATATAGTTTATAAAATGTTAAATTATGAAATTAATTTAATCTGCGATTAATAAATTTTTTATTAATAATAATTGCATTCAAAAAAATTTTTAATTTATTAATTTTAAGGTAACAAATATTTTATATTTAAAAAATTCAAAATAAAATGAGCTCCTAATTTGTAGTAATTCAAAATATATTATAATATCACAAATTACAAAGCAAACATTCAAAGTTATTTTTGGTTAATCTAAATTTCAATTTCTTTTAAAACTTGGAAAATATCAAATTCTTTTAAATAATGTTAAGAATGTTGAATGACAAAAACAAAACCAAGTAAACATGGAAAGTAAATTGTATAAACGTTCTATTTAAGATTAATCTAATTAAATAAATAAAATAGAAAACTCTCTAAAGCATATTTTTGCTATTTACCTGCAAAATTCATGGTTACTTTGATAAATTATTTAATTAAATATGAATTAAATTTTATTTTTGTAATCTAATCAGCTACTCCTTTTTAAAGAATCAAAAAAATAAATAAAAATTTTGAACAAAAACAAATTATTTGATCAAAAACAATTAAAAACAAATGAAATTCTTGTTCTTTTAAATTATTATATCAATAAAAATACTAAGGTCCCTACAAGACAGCAGTCAAAACAGCTAAGCTATTAATTAATTTAGATGCTTTGGAAGATATTCATATACTCCTTGCTATCAAAATTCTGATCCTTTATCACTCTATGTAGGCCTTGGAAGTGATATTTTTGTAAGTAAAACTGATCCTACTATTCAAAACTTTGCTACTTCAGGTTGGATTTATCTACTAGGAGATTAAAGTTAAAATTATAACATTTTAACTGTTTTATAAGGTAGCTAAATTTTATTTAGTGTCCAATACAATATACCTGGCAATTATTTCTCTGTTTAACTAAATTCTGATAGTGCTGCAAACATGGTTTATTAGAATCCTGGGATTATTGCAATAATATAATAATAGTGGTACTTTTTTTAATTTTATATGGAAGTAACTGCAGGATCCTAACTTAATTTAAATACATATATTTTTGAATAAAATCAAAATTATTTTATCTTATAATTATCAAAACCGGGAATAGGGTTTAATTCTTTCAAAGCTGCTGATTTAGTATTTGATTTTGGTAAAGGATAATCGTCTGTATATAGCTGTCTATTTCTACACTACGTTTATATTTATTGGGATTTAAAACTAAATAATCCCAATTCGTTTAGCTTATTTGAAGATATTTCTGCATATGATATTTATTTAAAGTAGAATTATGATACTACTTATACATAATAAAATAATGGATACTTAATCTAAGTAAATCTACCAAATGGAAAGCTGCCTTTACAGATTAATCAAAAAGATCATTTTGTTTTGAAAAATTAAGAATAGATAAAAACAGATTTTATAAATTTCAAATCACAGAGAAGTTTTGTTCTTTCTTTTCACTTTAGATTAGTTCCATAAAGTGGGAATTCAAATCCTATATCAATAATGTACTTAACTTCTTAAAATAATTATTAAATTTAAGTGAGTAACAATAATTTGTATTTCATTAATAATTTAGTGAATGGATTTTAATTAAATTAGTGGAATTAAATTACTCTTATCTATAGAGAGTTTTATTATCTGACTCTTTAATTAATTTTGAATGACGATTTGGCAAACTCGATTGTAATTAATCTTAATTCTAAGCTTATCGCTTCCTAAGCAACCTTTGGTGATTCATCTATTACTAATTATTTTCTATACTTAAATTACATTAGAATATATGAAGGAGGATTTTTAAGCTAAACTAATTCATGTTTTATGCTTGCAGCAAGAAATGATTAATAATGTATAATTTGTAGAAGCGGCTACTTGTTAGATTATTAGAATAATATGACTTGCGTTACTCCATCTTCTAGTAATTAAAGTACCTTAATAAATAATGTAAAAGACTGGACACCTAAGCAGTTTACTTGCCCAAAAAATATGATCTTGGATAGTTAAGATATTTGTAAATGTTTTTTTTAGTTTTATAGAAGAGGTGATGAATGCTTTCAGTGTTAAAGTTACTGCAAAGGATGCATAGATGCAAATACATGCATAGAAATGGATTCTTAAAGATAAAGTAATGGAATATGCAAGACTGGATATTTTGATGATGGATATACCTGTATAAAGCCTATGTTTAATATAAAAAGTAGGATAAATTACAAAATTAATTTAAGTCAAAGTGATTTGGGTGCTGGATGCTCTTAAGAAGGTACTTAATCTTCTTATATAACTCATAATTCAGTTCTCAAAATTTAAAAAGAAAGGGGATTCTTTTTTTGTTTTGTGTTCTCAGCGCATAATACAACTCCTTAATCCACAATAGCCTTTATATAAGATGGTGGACTTGAATTATTTACTATAATGTTTGAGATGAACAATAATAATGGATATTCTATGCCATCTTTTAGTTTATACGTATTGGGGGTCAAACAATAGATATTATTTTCTAGTTAAACAAATTCAGTATGGATAGCTTTCTAAACAGATTTTAGTACAGCTTATTTTCATATATTTTTTTATCTTAATTTATACACAGCTGTAATAGATGTAAAGAGTTAGTTTTCAAGTTACACAGTAAATGATCCTTTTTTATGCATAGGTAAGTGCTCTTCTCAATTTTAACCATCATATGTTTGTGCTAATTATGATTAACTTTATTACATTTATTAATTAGATCAGCTAGGGGATTATTCTTAAATTAAAAATCTTATTTAATTTTAAACAAATTAAATAGCATTTTTTAAGCTAGACTACTCTAATCTTCCTACTTCTAATTATATTATTGACCCTATTTCTTCTCTCAAACTATAATCAAATATAAATTTAATTATCAAGAGATTTAAAGGAATTCAATTTACTTAGAATATAAATGCTTTAATTTAAGGATTAATATTAAATTCTATTTATCCCACATTTTCTTGCAATATCTTTATTGAAAAGCTTACTATGGAGTAAATGATATTTAATATTTAAGCAGGATCATTGTATCTTTAATACTTTTTAGTTCCTTATGGGGAAACAAAAGCTTAAATAAGAATGTGTCATGCTAGTTTATGCATTGATACTAAATATGCTATGTTAAATATCAACTAATAAAATTTTTTATATATCATATATAGAACAAGAGGATAAATATAATAAAAAATATTTGAAGAATTTGAAATATTTTGCAATTATCAAAGAGAAGTAATATAATTTAATAATCCGCCTCTACCAGATAATAATCCAAAAACGGCTCTTATCTTTTATTAAGTTAATTAATTAAATTTATAAGACTAATCTCTTTACATAAATAAAATAAGAATTGAAATAGGTTAAGGATCGTATTATTATGATTATGATAATTCTGAAAAATGCTTTTTATTTCGTAATATTTTGTAAATGGAGTGCCTGATACCTAAAAAAGGTTTTGTATTCTATTCAAACAATTAAATCATATCAGAAGATGAGTGTAATAAAATGACTTCAATTTTAAAATTGTTTCATACAATAGACTCTTCTGCTTATGAATGTGTAGATACAAGGCTATCTCCTGATTGCATAATGCTAGATGATAGTAGTTAAAATTTCATGTGTATTAAATGCTAATATAGTGGCTAAGATCCAAGTATAAATTGTGAATGCCCTTTTGGTTCCTTTTTTAATGTAAAATTATTTTAATTACTAAATAAAAATGTTAAATTTTAATATTTAAAAAATTTTTTTAAAGTAATAGATACTTTCATGCTAAAAATGTAGCCCAAATTGCTTGACTTGTATTAATACTTTTGATAATTGCATAAAATGTGTGAATTCTAATCAGTCTCCGCCATAATGTTCATGCTAATAGTAGAATTATTATTTGGATGAAATTTTTACATGCAAAATGTGTTCATATTAGTGTGATACATGTATTTAAAATTCTAATTATTGTCTAACTTGCTCAAAAGATAGAGAAAATCCTCCTATATGTAATTGCTAGCAATAATTTAATGAAGTAAATAAAATATGTGAAAAAATTGAATGTGATTAGAAGTGTTTAACTTGTGCCTCATCATCTTCTAACTGTACTCAATGCAAAAATGGAAGAGTAAATCCTCCTTAGTGTAATTGCTAGGATTAATTTGTAGAAAATTAAGATGGAACTTGCTCATAATGCAACTAAGGATACTATTATGATTTTAAAACTCAAAATTGTTAATAATGCTCATTGTAGTGCTTATAATGTGTGAATTCAAAATCAAACTGTATTGTTTGTAAAAGTGGTTTATTTTTAAATAATAATGATTGCTTTTGCTCGAATCGAACATCTCTAGCTTTGGTTGATAGACAGCTAATCTGCTTGAAAAGTATGGATGTAAATTTAAAAGTTACTTTAGATACTGATCATTATGTTCTCATATTTAGTTTTGATCATGATATCTAATAGATAGATAGTCGCTTTTATTAAGACATCAGCTAGTTAATATATTTAAGATTCTAAGAAATTCCAACAAATTTATATAATTTAAGTGATCCAGTTATAAAAGGGAAAACACTCACTATTAATTTAAATGTGAATGAAAACTTTCAAACTTAACTTGGATGGGTTTAGTTTTTAGATAATACCAAATTTATTAGCACCTCCTAAGAATTTATTCTTGATTATATTTACACTAAAAAATATATTGATTTTTCAATTGGACCATTTTTATTTAAAAAAAATAATTTGGATTCTAGCATCACAGATCAAATAAAAAACAATTTCAAAAACTCGAATTAATATGTATTTAATTTTGTAAAATATTTCTAAATAATACTATACATATTGAATTCAGCTCAACCAACAGCATTGTTTTTATTATTGAATGCAAACTTACCTCCTAATTTGTATAAATTCTATTAAATGGTAGGAATGGTTGTATATCCCGATGTGGTTGATTATTAATCTACAGATTTTAAGGAAGACTTTAATTTATTTTATATGAATCTCAATTAGACAGAAGTATTTAAATCTAGTGATTAAATATACAAAAAGCTAGGATTCTGTAATAGCTTTTTGATAAATGCTTAAGGAGTGATAGTGAAATACTTGTTTTTATTTATTTTTATAATTATAACTCAATTAATTGTTTAATTATGCAAAGAATTTAATAGAAATAAGTTGCAATAAAAGTGTAAGCGATTTAATTAAAAATTAAAATAAGCAATTAACTCTGAAAATGATACTACTTTATTAATAATAGTTTAATCTATGCTTGTTTAATTTACCTTTATTGACTAATAGATATGGGCAGTAAGATATGGATATTATTTAGCAATTATTTTTTTAATAGAATTAATAGTATCACTCTATATAAATATTCAACAAATAAATAGTAAATAAAAGTATGATGAATCAGATTATTCATTTTAGTATACTGAAAGAATCTTAAATTAAACAAATAAATTAAGCAGGTATTATTTCATATTTTAACTGATTAAAAAATATATTCTATTAATAGTGTTATTTGCTTTTAAAAAGTACCCAAATTAAACATGTATAATAAATGGTATTTTAATAATTTTTTCAGTAATCTTATCAATAATCCAAAGGCCATATAAATATATAGTTAGCAGATATATAAAGGTTATTGGAGAACTTATTTATTTTGTTTGCTGGTTTCTACATATCTTTATTATAGAAAAAGAAGCTAAAATGATGAAATAAGTAATTTTAGATGCAGATGATGTTAGTTAATATTTGAAATTAGGTTAGATAATAATAATTCTATTATTAATTTTTAATATACTGTTTTTGATTGAAAAATTAATATAAATAGTTTCACTTATTTTAAAGATTGTAAGCAAAAATAAAAAAGATAATAAAAAATCTATTATATTTTTCTAAAAAAACGAAAGAGCATAATTAAAACTTTGAATGGCTTAATTATTTTACAAAAGGTAAAGCAAACTACTTTATAAAAAATGGTCCTAAAATTAAATTTTTTTAATATTATAGTTTTTATCTATTTATAAAATGTAATATGAAATTAAATAAAAATGTTTGAAATTGAAATAAAAATTTTTAGTAAAATGAATTTGAATTAAAGAAAACATTTAAAATTTGATAAAAATAATAACTTTTCTTGATAAATTGTTAATTTATAGGTATATGACTTATTTTAAGATATACCTCTGCACATTTAAATTTTTAATTTTATTCATTATTTTAAATAAAAATGTTGAAGTGTTTCTTTAAAATTAATAATTTACAACTAAAAAAAATATCAAAAATATATTATTGTAAACTTTTTATTTTAATTGAATTCATAAAATAAATAAAATTTTCAACACTTCTAAAGTTGAATAATAATTTTAAAATTATAAAATTAATAATATTTTTATTAATAATAATTGCATTCCTGAATTTTAAATTAGTTAATTTAAAAATAACAAATATTTTATAATTAAAAAATTCAAAATAAAAAGTGCTCTTAATTTGTAGTAATTTAAAATAAATTATAATATTATAAAATATAAAGCAAACATTGAAAGGAATTTTTTAAATCCAAATTTCTACCCTTTTAAATTTGGAAATCATTGAATTCTTAACTAAAACTAAAAATGTTGAATGACAAAACAAAAACTAAGTAAACTTGGAAAGTAAATTGTATAAAAGTTCTATTTAGATTAATGAAATGAATTATATAGAAAACTCTCTAAAGTGTATTTTTGTTATTTGCAGGCAAAATTAATGATTTTTTTGATAAATTATTTAATTAAATAAGATACAAAGTTTTGTTCTTTTAATCTAGCCATATATCTTTTTTAAGACATCAAAAAAGTAAAGAAAAAGTTTGAAAAATACAAATTATTTGAACATAAACAATTAAAAGCGAATGAAATTATTGTTATTTTAAATTATTATATCAATAAACATACTTAGATCCCTACAAGACAGCAGTCAAAACAGCTAAGCTATTAATTAATACAGATGCTTTGGAAGTTATACATTTACTCCTTGCTATCAAAATTTCGATCCTTTCGCAAGCTTTTTATGCACTGGAAATGATATTTTCTTAACTTATACTAATCCTACTATTCAAAATTTTGCTACTTCAGGCTGGATATTTTTAAAAGGAAATGAAAATTAAAATTATAACATTTTAACTGTCTTATAAGGTAGCTAAGTTTTATTTAGAGTCAAATATAATATACCAGGTAATTATTTCTCTGTCTAACTGCATTCTAATAGTGCTGTAAATATGATTTATTCTAGTTTTGCACCATATACAATAAAATAATAGTGGTACTTTTTATAATTTTATATGGAAGTAACTACAGGATCTTAACTTAATTTAAATACATATATTTATGAAAATAAAAATAACTATTTTAGCTCATAATAATAAAAATTGGGAATAGGATTTAATTCTTTCATAGCTGCTGATTTAGTATTTGATTTTGGTAACGGATAGTCGTAAGTATATAGCTGTCTCTTTGTATATTAAGTTTATATTTATTGGGGTTTACAACTAAATAATCCCAATTAGTTTAGCTTATTTGAAGATATTTCTGCATTTGATATTTATTTAAAGTAGAATTATGATACTACTTATACATAATAAAATAATGGATACTTAATCTAAGTAAATCTACCAAATGGAAGGCTGCCTTTACAGATTAATCAAAAAGATCATTTTGTTTTGAAAAATTAAGAATAAATAAAAACAGATTTTATAAATTTTAAATCATAAAGAGGTTGTATTCTTTCTTTTCACTTTAGATTGGTTCCATAAACTGGGTTTTCAAATAATATACTAATTATGTACTTAACTTCTTAAAGTAATTACTACATTTAAGTGAGTAACAATAATTTGTATTTCATTAATAATTTAGTGAATGGATTTTAATTAAATTAGTGGAATTAAATTACTCTTATCTATAGAGAGTTTTATTAACTGACTCTTTAATTAATTTTGAATGACGATTTGGCAAACTCGCTTGTAATTAATCTTAATTCTAAGCTTATCGCTTCCTAAGCAACCTTTGGTGATTCATCTATTACTAATTATTTTCTATACTTAAATTACATTAGAATATATGAAGGAGGATTTTTAAGCTAAACTAATTCATGTTTTATGCTTGCAGCAAGAAAGGATTAATAATGTATAATTTGTAGAAGCGGCTACTTGTTAGATTATTAGAATAATATGATTTGCGTTACTCCATCTTCTAGTAATTAAAGTACCTTAATAAATAATGTAAAAGACTGGACACCTAAGCAGTTTACTTGCCCAAAAAATATGATCTTGGATAGTTAAAATATTTGTAAATGTTTTTTTTAGTTTTATAGAAGAGGTGATGAATGCTTTCAGTGTTAAAGCTACTGCAAAGGATGCATAGATGCAAATACATGCATAGAAATGGATTCTTAAAGATAAAGTAATGGAATATGCAAGAATGGATATTTTGATGACGGATATACCTGCTTAAAGCCTAAGTTTATTATAAGAAGTAGGATAAATTAAACAATTAATTTAATTGCAAGTGATTTGGGTGCTGGATGTTCTTAAGATGGTACTTAACCTTCTTACATAACTGATAATTCAATTTTGAAAATTTAAAAAGAAAGGGGATTCTTTTTTTGTTTTATAATCTTAGGATATAATTTACTTACTTAATCCACAATAGCCTTTATATAAGATAGCGGGATTGAATTATTTACTATAATGTTTGAAATGAACAATAATAATGGATATTCTATGCCATCTTTTAGTTTATTTGTATAGGGGGTCAGAAAATAAATATTATTTTACAATTAAAATAATTTAGATTGGTTATGGATAGCTTTTTAAACAGATTTTAATACAGCTAATTTTCATTTATTTTCTAATTTGAATTTATACACAGCTGTAATAGATGTAAAGAGTTAGTTTTCAAGTTACACAGTAAATGATCCTTTTTTATGCATAGGTAAGTGCTCTTCTCAATTTTAACCATCATATGCTTGTGCTAATTATGGTTTGCTTTATTACATTAATTAATTAGATCAGCTAGGAGATTATTCTTAAATTGAAAATCTTATTAACCATTTAACAAACTAAGTAGCATTTTTTAAGCTAGACTACTCTAATCTTCCTACTTCTAATTATATTATTGACCCTATTTCTTCTCTCAGACTTTAATCAAATTTAAATTTAATTATCAAGCGATTTAAGGGAATTCAATTTACTTAGAATATAAATGCTCGAATTGAAGGATTAATATTGAATTCTAATTATCCCACATTCTCTTGCAATATCTTTATAGAAAAACTTAGTATGGAGTAAATGATATTTAATATTTAATCAGGATCATAATATCTTTAATACTTTTTAGTTCCATATGGGGAAACAAAAGCTTAAATAAGAATGTGTCATGATAGTTTATGCATAGATACTAAATATTCTATGCTAAATATCAACTAATAAAATTTTTTATATCTCATTTTTAGAACAAGAGGATAAATAAATTCATAAACATTTGAAAAATTTGAAATATTTTGCAATTATCAAAGAGAAGAAATATAATTTGCTTATCCATCACCAGACAATAATCCCAAAACAGCTCTTATCTTTTAATAAGTTAATTAATTAAATTTATAAGACTAATCTGTTTACATAAATAAAATTAGAATTGAACTATAATCAGGGTCGTATTATTATGATTATGATAATTCTGAAAGGTGCTTTTTATTTCGTAATATTTTGTAAATGGAGTGCTTAATACCTAAAAAAGGTTTTGTATTCTTTTCGAACAATTAAATCATATCTGAAGATGAGTGTAATAAAATGACTTCAATTTTAAATTCATTTCATACTATAGACCCTTCTGCTCATGAATGTGTAGATACAGGGTTGTCTCCTTATTGCATAATGTTAGATGATAGTAGTCAAAATTTCATGTGTATTAAATGCTAATATAGCAGCTAAGATCCAAGTAAAAATTGCGAATGCCCTTTTGGTACCTTTTTAAATGTAAAATTATTTTAATTATAAAATAAAAATGTTAAACTTTAATATTTAAAAAAATTTTTTTAAAGTAAAAGATACTTTCATGCTAAAAATGTAGCCCAAATTGCTTAACTTGTATAAATACATTTGATAATTGTATAAAATGTGCGAATTCTAATCAGTCTCCACCATAATGCTCATGCTAAGAGTAGAATTATTATTTGGATGAAAATTTTACATGCAAAATGTGTTCATATTAGTGTGATACATGTATTTAAAATTCTAATTATTGTCTAACTTGCTCAAAAGATAGAGAAAATCCTCCTATATGTAATTGCAAGCAATAATTTAATGAAGTAAATAAAAAATGTGAAAAAATTGAATGTGATTAGAAGTGTTTAACTTGTGTCTCATCATCTTCTAACTGTACTCAATGCAAAAATGGAAGAGTAAATCCTCCTAAATGTAATTGCTAGGATTAATTTGTAGAAAATTAAGATGGAACTTGCTCATAATGCAACTAAGGATAGTTTTATGATTTTTAAACTTAAACTTGTTAATAATGCTCAATATAGTGCTTATAATGTGTGAATTCTAAATCAAACTGTATTGATTGTAAAAGTGGTTTATTTTTTAATAATAATGATTGCATATGTAAAAATGAAACATCTCTAGTTATGATTGGCAATCAGTTAATTTGCTTGAAAAATATGGATGTAAATTTAAAAATTATTTTAAGTACTGATCATTATGTTCTTATATTTACTTTCGATCATGATATCTAATAGATAGATATTCCATTTTAGTAAGACATTAGTTAGTTAATATATCTAAGGTTCTAAGAAATTCCAATGAATTTATATAATTTAAGTGATCCAGTGATAAAAGGGAATATGCTCACTGTTACTTTAAATGTGAATGAAAACTTTCAAGCTTAACTTGGATGGGTTAAGTTTTTAGATAATACCAAATTTATTAACACCTCCTAAGAATTTATTCTTGATTATATTTACACTAAAAAATATATTGATTTTTCAATTGGACCATTTTTATTTAAAAAAAATATTTTGAGTTCAAGTACTACAGATTAAATAATCAATAATTTCAAAAACTCCAATTAATATTTATTTAATTTTGTAAAGTACTTCTAAATAATACTATATATATTGAATACAGCATAACCAACAGCATTGTTTTTATTGTTGAATGCAAATTTACCTCCAAATCTGTATAAATTCTATTAAATGGTTGGAATGATTGTATATCCAGATGTGGTTGATTATTTATCTACAGATTTTAAAGAAGACTTTAATTTATTTTTTATGAATCTCAATTAAACAGAAGTATTTAAATCTAGTGAACTAATATACAAAAAGTTAGGATTCTGCAACAGCTTTTTGATAAATGCTTAAGGAGTGATAGTGAAATACTTATTTTTATTTATTTTTATAATTATAACTCAATTAATAATTTAATTAAGCATAGGGTTTAATTTAAATAAATAAAAGTTTTAGCAATTTAATTAAAAATTAAAATAGGCAATTAACTCTGAAAATGATACTAATTTATTAATGTTAGTTTAATCTATGCTTGTTTAATTTACCTTTAATGACTAATAGATCTGGGCAATCAGATATGGATATTATTTAGCAATTATTTTTTTAATAGGATAAATAATATCACTTTATATAAATATCCAACAAATAAATAGTAAAAAAAAGTATGATGAATCAGATTATTCATTTTAGTATACTGAAAGACTTTTAAATTAAAAAAATAAATTAAACAGAAATTATTTCATATTTTAACTGATTAAAAAATATATTCTATTAATAGTGTTGTTTTCTTTTAAGAAGTACCCAAAATAAGCATGTATTATAAATGGTATTTTAATACTTTTTTCAGTAATCTTATCATTAATCTAGAGGCCATATAAATAAATAGTTAGCAGATATATAAAAATTATTGGAGAGTTAATTTATTTTATATGCTGGTTTCTACATATCTTTATTATAGAAAAGGAAGCTAAAATGATGAAATAAGCAATTTTAGATGAAGATGATGTTAGTTAATACTTGAAATTAGGTTAGATAATAATAATTCTATTATTAATTTTTAATATACTGTTTTTGATTGAAAAATTAATATAAATAGTTTCACTTATTTTAAGGATTTTAAACAAAAATAAAAAAGATAATAAACCATCAATTTTATTTTACTAAAAAAACAAAAAAGCATAATTAAAACTTTGAAAGGCTTTTTAACAAAAGGTAAAATAAATATTTATAAAAAATGATCCTAAAATACAATTTTTTTTAATATTAAAGTTTTTATATATTAAAAAATTGTTGTATGAAATTAAATAAAAATGTTTGAAATTGAAATAAATACTCTGAGTAAATTAAATTTGAAATTTTGTTAATTAACCTTTTTAGTATAATAGAAAATAAAAATATTAAATTAAATTAACCATTTAAAGTAAAATAAGTAATGTAAATGAGAAAAAGAAATAAAATTGAATAATTATAATTTAAAATTACAAAGAATTTTTTAAAAATAGTAAAATAATTAAAGGTATTTTATTGGATAGAAGATATTTTAAAAAGTAATAAGATCCTTATTTTACATAATATTTTTATTTATCTTTAACAAAAATACAAAAATTAAAAGAAATAATTCTTTCTCTTATTGAGAGTATATTTTGAGAACAAATAATACCAAATTATTTTATTTGTATCACTAAAATCAAAAAATAGACTCCTATGAGAAATATTTCACTCTCAAAGTTTATATTCTTTTAGCAAATTAATACACAGTCATTTTATACATTTATGTACCATCCCTTTACTCTCATACTAATATTTCAGAATATTTTAAAAAATCTATTGCAAAATAGCCACCTTAAATCACATATTGTTATCAAATAAGAAAAAAATATTTGTAATTATTATTTGAAAAAATATATTTTTGTTTAATTAATTTTCTTTTATTATTTTTTCCCTCCCATTTTTTATTAAATAAAGATAGATTAAATTTAATATTAAATAATTAAATTTATTAATAATAAATAAATATTTATTTTTCAAATAAAAACAATCCATCATTTTTTTCTTATTAGAATATAAAACATTTTATAAATTATATTTATTAATTTGCTCAGATATAGAAAGAAATGATTATCTAAAGATCACCTATTATTATAATTTATAAAAAAAAATTAGGTTACAATTTTAAAATTTTAAGATTGATTAATTTAGAAGAGCAAGTTATGAGTGTAAATTTTTATTTAATAATAGAGGTAAAATTTAGCAGCCAAGTAGAAAAATTAAGAATTTAAAAAATAAATTTCTTAACTATTTTATTAGAAATATTCTAAATTTATCTAAAATAAAAATTTTAAAATTACATTTTAATGAAAATAATTAAATTGATAAATTTGAATAAAATATAAAGCTATTTCAATTAAAAATATTTGGATAACTAAATGTATGATTAGGTTTTACAAAATTCAATTTTTATAATAAATGAGTAAAGAGAAAAATGTAAAATCTTAAAGTATACTTTGAAATTTAATCTAATAACTTTTTTAGAAATAAATATTGGCGTAATCATTAAATTTATATTTGTTTTTAATAATCTTCTTAGTAATAAAAGAATATAATCAAGTAAAACTTAAAACAAATAATTTCTAATGGTATTCTTTTTTTATTTGATATTTCTTCTTACTGTGATATCTAACTGCGATTAAATTAATAATCAATATCAATGTATCAGAGTATTGACAATGACTCCTTGCAATTAGAATTTAGATGTTGGAATCAACTATTCCTGCCCTGGGGCTGATGTTTTTAAATAATATTCTAGTCCTACTATTTAAAAATTCGCTATTTCTGGGTGGTTCTTTTTGAAGGGGTCTTTAAATTAGAATTATAATTTAATAACAGTTCTAGAAAACAACTAACCTCTTTTTTAAGTTAAATATAGCATTTATTCTTCTTTATTTACCTCGACTTTGATATCCTAAACACCTCAATCCTTGAATCAAAATGATTCAGTGCATCTTGCATATAAATGGTATTTTGTAATATTTAAGATGGAAGTAATAGTTGGTACACAGCTAAATTTATAATTAAACATCTATTGTGATTCTAGTTAATTCTATTTAACATAATCAACAACAATGAGAAGCTCAGTACCATTCTAAGCATCATAAATGACTTTCGACTATGGAAATGGCTAGACAAATACTTAATATAGCTGCGTAGCAATTTATATGATATTTATTTATTGGGATTCGGACCTGATAGATAACTAATCAAATTTGATTAATAACCTTTAACAATTAGATATTTAATTAAAATGGAACTATGATACATTTTATGCTTAATATAACTAAGGAAATTTAATCCAAGCTAACAATCCTAATGGTAAATTAGATACTAGAATTAATCGAAATGAATAATTTGTATTAAAAAGCTAAGAATAGATAGTAACAGATTTTGTCAATGCTTAAACTAATTAAGGCTTTATATTGACTTTTCACTTTAAGTTGATTTCTTAATCTGGGAGTTCAAATTAAATTTAGATTGTATAAATATTAAGTCTTCCTAATTCTTAGTTAATTTTCCAAAATAATTAATTGTAATTTTTTGGTTAATAAATAAGTGGAATTCAACTAAATATGTGGTATCAAATTACAATAATATTTAATTCGTAAGCATAATATATTTACTTGATTGTCAATGACGATTAAGCAAATTTAATAACATCTAACATTAATACTGTAATCTAATTTTCATAAATATTGTTTGGAGACACTTACAATACAAAATTTAATTTATATCTAAATTATATAAGAATATATGAGGGTACATTTTTGAGTAACAGTCCTTCATGCTTTATGTTATAGGGAAGAAATTAAAATAATTGTATTATCTGTAGAAGTGGTTATTTGATAGATTATTAGAATGAAATGACCTGTGTAAGTCCATCTTCAAATAATTTTAGTACACTTATAAATAATGTTAAAGATTGGATTCCTAAATAATTTCCATGCCCCAAAAATATGATTTTAAATAACTAGAACGTATGTGTTTGCATGTTTTAATATTATAGGGAAGGAGATGATTGTTTATTATGCTAAAATTATTGCTAAGGTTGCATAAACGCATATACCTGCATAAAAATGGATCCAAATAGATAAAATAATGGAAAATGTTAAGATAATATGTTTGATGATGGTTATAATTGCTAAGATCCAAAATATAATATTTAAAGCAGGCTAAATTACATTAAAACACTATCTCCTAGTGATATCGAAAATTCAGAATGTGCTTCAGATGGGACTTAACCTTCATATTTAATTGATAACTCAATTTTGTAGCTTTAGAAAGGGAAAGGTTTCTTATTTAGTTTTAATATGATTATTTAAACTCTAGCCAATTAAGCTACTATTGCATATTTGCAAGATAGTAATTCAGATTTATTTGTAATTACGCAAGAAAAAATAACTAACAACGGAATTGATTTGCCAACTATAAATCTTTATGTTAAAACAACTAAGATAGTCAGTTTAATTATAGAGCTGGGAGGATTTACATAGATTAGTTTTTGGACTGATTTTAATAGTTGTAGCTTTTTTATCTACTTTAATTTGATTATGTAGTATCATAATACTTATGTGGGTAGCTATTTTTCAAGTTATGTAGTGCAAAATCCTATTTTTTGTGCTGGTAAGTGCGGTTCTAATCTACAGAATATATATGCGTGTGCAAGTTATAGTCAAATAATCTATATTTATGATATAAAACAGATTATTGATCCTACCTAAGTTAATTATTTAAAATTACATTTCACATAATAGATATCATTATTTGAGCTAGATTTTTTTAATTTACCAACTTCTAACAGCATAAAAGATTAATCAAATGTATATACCCTTGTTTCTAACTCTAATATTATATCTAATAGATTCAAAGGAATATAATTTACATAAAATATTAATGCTTATATCTCGGGTGTTAATTTTTACTAGAATTATCCTAGTTTTTCATGTTATATTTTTATAGAAGAACTTAATTTTTAACAAAGGATATTCTAGATGGACTTAGGAAGTTCATAGATATAATATCACATTGTCCCATATGGTACAAAAGCTTTTATTAGGATATGTTAGTTTAATGTATGTATAGATACAAAATATTCTATGCTTAATATTAATGAATAAAACTTTTTATATATTATTTACAGAATGATAGGAGCTATGAATACAGCTTTTCAAGAATTCGAAATATTTTGCAACTACAAAAGAGAAGTTTTATATTTTTCAGTAAATTAGTAAACATATCTAGCACAATCAACAATATATTTGTTTTAGCAAGTCTACCTTTCTAACTCGTAAAAGTAATCAGTTTATCTTAACAAAATTAGAATCGAAGTTGGAGAAGGATTTTATTATCAAGACTAAAATCAATCAGAAAAATGTTTTTTATTTAGAAATATAGATAAAATGGAATGTATGATACCTAAGAAAGGATATGTTTTTTATTAAAATAATCTAATAATTACAGAAAATGAATGCAACAATTTAACTTTAAAATAAAATTCTTTTCATATTGTAAATCCGTCTACACAGGAATGCATTAATACTCAGTTATCTCCATATTGCCAATAAATTGATGACCTGAAAAATACACTTAGTTGTGTTAAATGCTAATATAAAGGATAGGATCCGAGTTAAAACTGTTAATGCCCATTTGGTACCTATTTAAATGTAGATTACAAATTTTATTAGTTGTTTTTAAATATTAAATCATTTTTATTAATTTATAAAAAAATATTCTTTTAATTTAAAAATTAAATTAGAGATTAACAAAATATTTTTTAATTTACTTAATTTAATAATTCTTAAGATTTTTTAGAATCATATTTTTATTTAAATCAATAATTTTATTCTAACAAAAATAAAGTTATAAAATTCTAAATGCTAATAATGCAGCCCTTAATGTGAAACATGTGTTAGCTAGTCTAATAACTGTTTAACTTGTAAATATAATGATTAGAGTCCACCAACGTGTAGTTGCTTGCTTTAAAATTAATTTTTAGATGAAAATTATGTGTGCAAAACTTGCTCATATAAATGCAAAACATGTTTTGAAAACTCTGATAAATGCACAGCTTGTTCTGATAATAGATCTAATCCCCCTAATTGTGATTGTGAATCTTAGTAAATTGAGATTAATGGCTAATGCTAGTAATTAAAATGTGAAAATAAATGTTTAACTTGTGATTAATCTACCTCTAATTGTATTTAATGTAGTATAGGTAGATATAATCCTCCTATATGTAATTGCAAGCCAAATCATGTTTAAAATTTAGATGGAACTTGTTCTTAATGTATATCAGGATATTTTTATGATTAGACAGAAAATAATTGTTAACAATGTTCAGCTATATGCCTTTCATGCTAAAATAAACCAAATAATTGCACTTCTTGTATTAGTGGGCTAATACTTTAAAGTAACTAATGTGTTTGCCCTAATGGAACTTCAGTGATTTTATTATAAAATGAGATTTTGTGTTTAAATAATATGGATGTAAATTTAAGCTTGATTTTGAACTCTAACTTTTATTATCTTGTTTTCAAATTTGATTATGATATTTAGCAATTAAACAACTATTACTAAAATAATATAACTAAACTAATTTCAGTTAGTTTTTCAGAAATCCCATAAAGTTTCTATGAGATCAGTGATCCAAAAGTATAGGGAAACATATTAAAGCTTAAGCTAAATATATATAAAAGTTTTTCAACTCTTCATGGATGGGTTTAGTTTCTAGACAACACACAGTTTCTAAGTATTTCTAAAAAATTTATTCTTAATTCATAATATAAGTTAAGCTTTCTCAGGTTTGAAATAGGGCCATTTCTCTTCGATAAGAATACTATGGATGGAGGTGTAGCAGATTAAATTGTTAATAAGCTGTAAGATTCAAGTAAAAATATTGCGTTTAATTTTATAAAATAATTCCAACTAATTCTTTATATTTTAAATACTGCTTAACCATCAGCTTTATTTTTGCTAGTAAATGCAAACTTACCTCCTAATCTATATAAATTCTATTAGGTAATAGGATTATTGATTTACCCTGATGTTGTAAACTATTAATCAACGAATTATAAACAAAATTTTTAATTATTTTATGCAGATTTAAATTAAGAAGAAGTTTTTTTATCTAGTGAAAAAATTTACAAAAAATTAGGATTCTGTAACAGTTTTATGGTAAATTCATAAGGCATAATTATTAAATACATACTCATAATTTTAATTTTAATATTATTTTATATACTGCAATCTTAGAAACATGGAGCTTAAAATATGCAAAATAATAAATTGTTTGTCATAAAATCATTTTTTATAAAAAAATTGAATAGCGAAAACGACACAAATTTATTATTGTTAATTCAATCTATTTTAGTTTAATTTACTTTTAATGATGATTAAATATGGGCAATAAGATATGGATATTATTTAGCATTAATATTTGCTATTATGCAAATTATGTCGTTCTATCTAAATGCTAAACAAATTAATACAAAAAAGGAATATGATGAATAGGATTATTCTTACTAATACACTGAAAGGCTTTTAGATACCAAGAATAAATTTAACAGAAATTACTTCATTATTTAATTATTAAAAAAATATTTGGTTTTGATTGTTCTATTCTTTTTTAAAAGATATCCTTACCTAGCTTGTATAATAAATGGAATAATCTTCTTTTTATCATGTTTATCAACAATTATTATGAAACCTTACTAAAATTTAATAAGTAGATTACTCAAATTATTTGGAGATTTATTGATTTCAGTTTGCTGGTTTCTTCATATTCCAATAATAGTTTTGGAAAATATATTTACTTAACAAGCAGAAATAGATTAAAAATAAATAAATTAATATTTAGCTTTAGGATAAGTAATTATAATAATTATCATTATTTTTAATGGATTATTCTTGTTTTAGAAGATAATAGAAGTAATATAAGTCCTTTATAAATTAATATCACCAGATAAATAAAGTAAATAAAATGTTATTTAGCTTACTTAAATATAAAGTAATTATTTTAAAAACTAATTAGACACAATTTAAAATAAATCTAAATCTTATCAAAAAAAATAAAGTTAAAACAAGTAGCTTTTAATTAATAAAAATATCTTTCATTGATAAACTAATTGTAAATATATTTTTTATTTAAAATAATTATCATAAATAAGAAATTAATATTTTTATATTTTTATACAGTGCTGTTATATTTGATCATGAATGATTTTAATAAATTTTAGTTTTTTTTTAAAAAATTTTATGTACTAAAAACAATTATAACCCAATCAACTTTAACTTACTTTTAGAAATTTATTTTTTTGATATTTCTTAAATAGAAACTTATTAATAAAATTTCAAGCTAAATGATAAATAAAAAAAAATTGATAAAAAATACACTTATGGATGGAATACAAAAATATTAAGAAATATTGATTATGTTAAAAATAATATCAATGAATTTTCTTTCTTTTTAAATGATTTAATTTTATCTAATTTTTGTATTATTTTCTAAAATAATAAATCTCTAAGTAATTAATACAATAATCGATTTATTATTTTCTCTTTATTTATTTTAATTGAATCGCATTTATAATAATGTTTGCAAAAATAATCTAAAAAGAATAAATTAACTTATGAATGAAGAAAATTTAGTAAGTCAATCAGATATTTTCTTTAATAGATAAGAGTAAATTATTGTTTCTAATTGTATTTTTTGTAAATAAATTAAAGAAAGGAAAATTCAATTTGAACTAAGTAAATGAGAAATAATCAAAGTAGAAGATAAATTTATCTAACTTTCTTTATATCAATATTTTTATAAATTTTAAAATGCAATGAAGGCACAAATTAGTATTTATGTTTTTAAAGCCTCAATAATTTACCTTGCAACTAAAATTTAAATCCCTCACAAAAGTTTTCTTGCAGCGGAAGTAGCATATTTTAATCCTATAGCAATCCCACAATTACTAAATTTGCAGTTACCGGTTGGTTTATTATGAAGGGAATGTTAAACTAGCAATACAACATGATAACTGTGTATGAAAATAATAACCAGTTACTATTCTAAATTTAATATAATATTTATTAGAATACTTTTACATCCTAATTGCTATCTGGCGCTTTTACAAATTTAAACTATGTTACTGGAGGAGCTTATGCGCTATAACAGAAATGGTATTTTGCAGTATTTAAAATGGAAGTAATATTAGGCTCATAAATAAAGCTATAAAGCTATATATATGAGTCTTAAAGCAGCTATTTTTATTTATAACAAAATACATCCTCAAGAAATACAATACCATTCACAACTAGTGGAATGGATTTTAATTTTGGAAAAGGAGAATCTTAACATAGTTGTATTTTAGTAAAATTGGTTTATATATATTGGGATTCAGATCTTTTAGACACAAGTATGTTTGGTTTAATAAATGATATTACTGTTTCAGATATTAACTTGAAATGGAGTTACGACACCTTTTATACGTAATAGTAGCCTGGTTATTTAGTTTAAACTAATCAACCAAATGGAAAATTATATGTATCGATTAACAGAGCAGAATAATTAATTTTGAAAAATAAAGAGTAAATTTATACAGAATTTATAAATGTAACTAGTAATGGAGGCTTTGTTTTAACCTTTCATTTCAAATTAGAATCTTAAAACCCTAGCGCTAATTAAATTGTAATATTGTAAATAAACAATGTAAATTTGAAGGTTTTAAATAATTATCTGTATTTTTTTGATATCTAAATTAGTGGTGTTTAATTAAGCAAATGGAATTAAATTACGATAGTTTACAGGCAATTATTTTATAATCAAATTCACTTTATTGTTAATGATGATTAGGCAACTTACACATCAAATGCTCTAGGTAGTAATATGTATTCATAAGTCCAAGCAGTGTTTGGAGATTCTTCAATTACTAACTATTTTTTATATTTAAACTACATCAGAGTCTATGAAGGAATATTTTTAAGCAATAGTCCTTCATGCTACATGCTTGCAGCAAGGAAAAACCAATAGTGTATAATATGTAAAAGTTCTTATTTAATAGACTATTAGAATGGTATAAACTGCGTTAGTACTTCACTAGTAAATAAAAGTACAATAATTGACAATGTAAAAGATTGGTTTCCTAAGTAATACTAATGCCCATAAAATATGATTTTAAATAGCTAGAATATATGCGTATGTTTTTATAACTCGTACAGATATGGAGATTAATGTTCTCCATGTCAAAGTTATTGTTAAGGGTGTATAGATGGAAATACGTGCATTTAAAAAGATCCTCTTAGAGATATCAATGGAAAATGCTTAAATTCCTAATTTGACGATGGTTATAAATGCTTGGGAATTTCACTTAATATAAAAAATAGATAAAATATTTTAAAAACTTTTTTAATAAGTGATTTTGGAGACGGATGTACTAATACTGGAACACCATCAGACTATATAATACCTTAAAGCTAATTAAATCTTGCAAAAGGAGTTGGTTTCTTTTTTTCTTTTTCTATAAAATTTCATAACCCACACACATAAGGAACTATAGCTGTTTTGAGTGATGGTCCTAATGATTTATTTACTATTATTTTAGATTAAATAACACAAAATGGGTTATAATTACCATGCATAAAATTTTATGTTCTCAATGTTATGACATTAAGTGTTACTTTAAGTTCTTATGATGAAGTTTGGATTGGTTTGTGGAGTAGCTTTGTAAGTGCCCAATTTTTTATTTTTACTGATTGGATTCTATATAGCAGCAACTAAATTAACGTATTAACCTAATTTTCATCTATAACTCTGTCCTCTCCTTAATTGTGTATAGGAATGTGTCATTCATTAATTTAAACTAGTTATGCTTGTGCTAAATATAGCTAAATTCTATACATTCTTCGTATATCTTATTAAGATTTAAGTTAACTTTAGAACCTAATTCAAACAATAACAACTACCTAAATAGCATTTTTTTAAGCAGGTTTTATTTATCTCCCTATTTCTAATACCATTATTGATTCTACTTCTTCAATTTTATTTAAATCAAATTAAAATTTTTAGTTTAATAGATTTAAGGGATTTTAATTTACTTAAAACAACTAAGCTTCCATCTAAAATATAAATCTTATGTAAACTGTTCCTACTATTTCATTTTATATTTTTATAAAAAGACTGAGCTAATAGAGGCTAATTCTTTCTATTTAATTATCATCAACTGAAAGTATATCATATTATTTAGTTCGATATAGTAACAAAGTCTAAATTAGGATATGTTATTCTCTTGTTTGTTAGGACACTAATTATGCCATGCTTAATTTAAATTAGCAGAACTTTCTATATATAATATCAAGAACTAGATAAACAAATTAAATATATCTCATTTAATAGTTTGAAGTGTTTTGTAATTATTAAAGAGAAGTCATGATTTTCATTATTTAATAATAAAATTATTACTCCTCCGTTAACATTGATATCTTACCATTAGCAAGTTCTCCAAATATTTAAGACTATTCAATTTACCTAAACAAGATAAGAATAGAAGTTGGAAATGGATCTTACTATTATGACTAGACTATCATGGATAATTGTTTTTTATATAGGAATATAGAAAATATGGAATGTAAGATACCTAAGAGAGGTTATGTCTTTTATTAAACTAATACCTTAATTACTGAACAAGCTTGCAATGATAGGACATAAATATATAATTCCTTTCATGTTATAAACCCATCAACATAGACTTGTATAGATACTCAACTATCTCCTTATTGTTAATAGATTGATGAAATTTAATCTTCACTAATTTGTACTAAATGTTTGTATCCTGGCTAAGATCCTGCTAAAAACTGTTAATGCGAAGATGGTTATTTTTTTAATGTATTTTTTTGATTATTAATTATTTATCTGTTTATTTTAGTTTTGTTGTTTTAATAATTAGTTATACTTATTCTAGATATTATTATATTAACTTATTGATTATTTTAGAATTAGGATTTAGCTTGCTAAAACTGTAGTCCAAGATGTAAAACTTGTGTTAATTCACATGACAATTGCTTGATTTGTAATAGTATTGATTAATCACCACCAAAATGTGAATGTAATTAATCTAATTACTTTTTAGATAAAAGTAATTCATGCACAGCTTGTTCATCAAAATGCAGTGCTTGTGAATAAAGTTCTGAACTCTGCTTAGCATGTTCTAACAATAGGGCTCACCCTCCAACATGTGACTGTATCGAAAATCATGTTGAAATAAATAATTATTGCTAATTATAGACTTGCGATTTAAAATGTTTAACATGTGAATCATCAAAATCTAACTGTATTAAATGTAAGGAAGGAAGAGAAAATCCTCCTGCATGTAATTGCATGACTAATTTTGTTGAAAATTCAGATGGAACTTGTTCTTTGTGCAATTTTGGAAACTACTTTGATAAAGGTATAAAGAACTGCTTATCATGCTCAATTCAGTGTTTAGGATGCATAGATTAAGCATCTAATTGTTTGGCATGTTAAAGCAATCTAATTTAAACAAACAACGAATGTAGCTGTTAAACTGGTAAATCTTTTGCTAAAATTAAAAACGAAGTATTATGCTTAAAGAATATGGATGTAAGATTAACAGTTATTTTATAATCTAACAGATATATTTTACAATTTAAATTTGATGAAGATATATAATAAATAGATAACAAATACTTAAATAATATTGAAAGTTTAATTAAAATAACATTTTCAGAAATACCTATGGATGCCTACAAAATAGGAAATCCGATAATTAAAAATAATATTTTAAGTGTTTAACTGATAGTCAATTAAAGTTTTTCTACAAAATAAGGATGGGTCTTATTTTTAGATAATACTTAATTTATAAGTGTTTCTGAATAATATGTTCTAAATAGGATTTACACAGTTAATCTAATCAATTTTCAAATAGGTCCATTAATTTTCGATAGAAATACTTTGGATGCTGGTCAATTAGATCAAATAAACGATTACTACAAGAACTCAAATTAAGATATATTTAACATAATTAAATAATTTTAAATAATATTGTATATCCTAAATTCAGCTCAGCCAACTGCATTGTATATATTATTAGATGCTAAATTCCCACCAAATCTCTATAAATTCTATCAAGTTGTTGGATTAATAATATACCCAGATGTTGTAGATTACTAAACTTCAAATTTCAAATAGGATTTTAAATTATTTTAGTTCAATTTGAATTAATCAGAAGTTTATCCATCAGACAGAATTACATATAAAAGGTTAGGATTATGTAACACTTTTCTAGTAAATACTTAAGGAATAATAATAAAGTACTTAGTTTTTTCAGTAATTTAATTGATAATTAAGGTGCTGATATATAAATAAAAATTTATTAATAATTCATAATTCTAAAAAAAGTTATATTCAATAAATTAAAAAGTAAAGTAAATAGTAAATAGTGAAAATGATACAAATTTGCTTATGATAGTGTAAAGTATATTAGTATAATTCACAATATTTGAGTAAGATATATGGGCTATTAGGTAAGGCTATTATTTAGCAATTATATTTTCTTTTTTATTCATAGTGTCATTCTACTACAATTTTTAAGAAGTAAATACAAAATAAAACTTTAGTGAAGAAGACTATTCTTTTCAATACACCGAAAGGCTATCAGACTAAACTAATAAATATTCGAGAAACTACTTTATTGTACAGCTTTTAAAGAAATACTTTGTCTTATTGAATATTTTCTGCTTCCAACGATTTCCTTATTTTGTCTGTGTATTAAATGGAATTATTTTTCTTCTTTCTTCTTTATAAACAGCTTTTATGAAACCATACAAATTTATTTTAAGCAGAATAATTAAAATAAATGGAGAATTTATTCAATCTATTAGTTGGTTTCTTCATATACCAATCTTGGTTATCGAAAATAAAATGACTTAGCAAACATTAATAGATTCTAACTAAATAAATAAATATCTAAATCTCGGTTTTGTAGTGATCATTTTACTTATCATATTTAATGGATTATTTTTTATTGAAAAATTATTTTCATTATATCTTACAATAAAATAAACTCTAGCTAAAAAACCTTAAACACAATATCAAAGCTTTACTGAAATCAATAAAACTATAATGGTCTCTTAAAATATAACTTTTTAAGAAAAATAAATAAGTAAATAGATGAAATTTAGAAATAAAAATTAAATTATTTAAAATAAAAATAAATGATGTGCTTTAATTTCTCATTTAACTTAATCAGATGAAATATAAAAACAAATTCTATATTTTCAATACTATTTAAATAATTTATACAGCAAATCTTTCATTTCATTCTTATTAAAAAGTACAAACGAAATTGATTAGCTCTTAATTGGTGAAAATATCTTTTAATTACTATAAAAATATTTATAATTTCTATAAATTTAATTCTTTTATTATCTATAAATATTAAATAATTATTTTTTAAATATTTGGTAATCTAAAAGTGCATTTGAACAGTCTAGAAGGATTAAATATTATTAATTTTTTTAAAAACCTAATGCAACCTTTTAAAATCTTTCATTCGTTTTATAATAAGCATATAAAGTATATATTTACATACCCTCCTTTCCTCCTCAATTTTAATATTTTAAATAGCAAAGTTTAAAATAAATATTGTTTATGTATTTTTATTTTATTTTAAAGATTTTATTTATTAATAAAATATACTGAAATAATTAATTATGTTTAAAATTTAATCATCTAAAAAATTGTATATTGTACGCTAATTTTTTTATTAAAAATGTGTTGGATTGAATTTAAAAAAATGTAAGGATAAATAATTCCTAAAATATAAAATTTATAATGAATTTCAAAAGAGAAGTAAGTGTAGTTGTTCTATTTGTTTATTACCAGAAAATTAATATTTCATAAATTTAATTAGTAAAACAAACAATCAAAGTAAAAATTTCAATATAAAAGATTAAAGGATAAGGAGATTTAAATGAATTTAATTTTTATCACATTTGCCACTTAATTTTTTTTGTTAATTGTTGCAATTAACCCTTAAGAGAACCTTGCGAATAATTAATATATGATGATTTATGATGTCTAATATACTATATGCGACCCAAATTAATCAACAATTTATCCTTAATTTGTTTTTAATGGGTAAAATATATTCAAAAATTATAACTCCTAAAGAATCAATTCTTTTGCAGTAGTAGGATGGTTTATATTGAGAGGATACAACTAATAATAAGATTATAATTTAATAACAGTGACTGAAAAGTCAAATTTAATATTTAAAGCTGATTATAATTAGGGATTATAGTAGTTTTATTGTTATCTTTTAGGAGGAGCAAAATAAGCATTTACACAAAACGGGAGTCCTATTTTTTAAAATAAAATTTGGTATCTAGCGATATTTAAGATAGAATACTAAAGCTCATTTGTACGATTTGAATCTTGGATATTATAGAATGGCTAATACGATGGATGGGTGAACACTTAAACAGATAATTATCCTTAACCTTTTAGAACCTAAGACTTATCAATAAATATTGGAATGAATAGTAATTTAAATTATGCAAGCTGTGTTTTAATAAAATATATGTATATCTTTTGGGATGCTGATATTAATGTCTCGAATTTCTTTTAAATGAAGTACGATTTATCTACTTTTGATAATTTTATTGTTTGGTTTTATGATATGTTTTACACTTATTAGAATCCTGGATATGCGATTTAGGCAATCCCTCCAAATGGAAAGCTTCCTCTTTATTTAAATAATTAACAATCTTCTTTTTACATTCAGGATAATTAGTACTTTCTCACTGATTTTTTAAATAATTTGGAGTAAAGAAGTTTTATTTTAACCTTTCATTTCAAAATAAATACAATGAATACTTTTCAAACTATAAGATTAGTAACTTTTTAGCCTACTTCAAACTATTACGTTGAAATAAATAATAATTAATTAATATTTTCAGGCTAAATAATTTCTGGTGTACAATTTAATTAATGGAATTAGCTAACTTTAATTTACAAAACAAATTTTTCTAGTAAATTTTATTTAATAGTCAATGATAATCTTAATGTGCAAATTCCTATAACTACATCTGATTTCTACTAACAAGTTTAATTTGGATCATAATCAAATTCAAATGTTTAGATTTATCTTGCATATTTAAGAAGTTATCAAGGCTCTTTTACCACTGATTCAACTTCTTGTTATTTGCTGGCTGCTAGATAAGTAAAATCTTGCATAATTTGTAGGTCTTCTTATCTGATGGATTACCAAAATAACTTCAACTGCGTTTTACCTTCTTCTGTAAACAAAAGTACTTTAATTGATAATGTTAAAGATTGGTTTCCAAAATAATTTTAATGTTATGAAGATATGATACTTGACAATAATACTGGAGCTTGTAAATGTAGATTTTAGTATTACAGATAATAAAACTAATGCTTTAAATGTAAAAGTTACTGCAGAGGATGTATAGATGCGGATACTTGTATATAAATGGATAAAAACAGATAACCAAATGGAGAATGCTTGATAGGATTATTTGATGATGGATATTCTTGCATTAATCCTTAATTTAGCATAAAAAGCCGAATTAATTTCATAAAACCACTCACCCCCTCTGATTTTGGATCTCTTTGTGCAAATGAAGGTAGCTAGCCTAGTTATTTTATTGGGTAGAGGGATCTTCAATTAAGTGTTAATTAAGGATTTTTCTTTGGGTTTTCATTTTTACTGTATGAACCTAAAAATTATGCTTGTATTGGTTTCTTAAGTAACGGAACTGATGAATTAATTTTAATCTTTTTTAAAACAATTTCAAGTAATGTATATGCGATATAGTTTTATGCAAACGGAAATTTTTTGAGACAAATATAAGTAAATATTAATTAGGAATAAATTTGGGTAGGTATTTGGACAGATTTTGTAAACGCTTGCTTTTATGTCCAAAATTATAGTTAATTAATTTCTACTGGATTTGTACCTATCAGCAGCTACTTTGGCACTTTAAATTTTCAAAATGCTTTTATGTGTGTAGGAAAATGCGTTTCTAGATAATCTTCTGAAGGTTATATATGCGCCTAATATTAGCCGATAGGAATTATTTATTAAATTGAAGCACCAATGAATGGTTCTTAAATTTAAAATTTGATAAGCTTATAAACAAGTGTTTTGGGTTAATTTATTCTTACATCTGAACAGGCAAATAATCTAATTTCTTAAATCGTAGATATAAATACAGGTTTGGTTCTAATTTTTAATTCTGTTTTGAATTTTGTTAGGTTTAAAGGAATACTATTTACAAATGGAAATAATGGATAAATTAGTAATCTACCAATTTAAAACTCTTTTGCCACTTTATTTTGCAATATTTTTATAGAATAGATTACTTATTAGGTTCTTCTCTTTTAAATAAGTTATGATACAAGAAATATTTAGTATAATTTAGTCCCTTTTGGCACTAAGGCTTTTATTAGAATATGTTATTTAAATTAATGTAGAGATACAAAATATGCTAAGCTTAATCTTAATGAATATAATTTTTTTGGAGTGATTTATAGAAATTTAAGTCTTAATAAATTGTAATTTTGGTAAATTTAATTGGAAGTAATATGTAATTACTAAACAGAAATAATTTAATTTTAGTTAACTCCTTTTACTTTAACTCCAGCTAATTTTTATATATTTCCATAACTAAGTAGCTATGCAAACAAAGGGAAATTTATAATATACATTAATAATCTTATCATCCACTAAGGTGATGGTTCATACTACGAAGATAGAAACTAATAAGAAGGTGGATTTCTTTTTCTAAATGTTTATCAAATGGAATGCATATCTCTCAAACCAGGTTTTACATTTTACTAAAATAAAGTTATCTCAATAAAATAATGTCTTGAATTAACAAACTAAACAGATTATCTTTATGCTGTAGATTAATCTAATTTTCAGTGCACAAATACAAAACTTCCTTCAACCTGTTTAGAATTCAGTATTA